TCCTCAATCCTCGCGAATTTCACCATTCACCATACCGTACCGATACTCACCCACTTTCTATCGCGTTCGCAACTACCGACAACTCTCCCGTAAAATCCAATCCCATCTCCGAAGATTACCGTAACACCTTGCAACGCGTCTCGCGTAATACCAGCGACAAAAAGCGAAACAAACGATTGTAAATTCCCTGCACAGCATCGAACTCTTCGATTCTCGCGTTCACCTCGCTTCATCGATCATTCCTCGAACAAAAAAAGAAAAGAAAAGGAAAAAGAAGACAAATAAGACGAAGTCAAATGCTCTCTCTCTCTCTCTCTTTCTCTCTCTGTCTCTCTCTTTTTGGAGAAGAACAATAAGAATCGCGTGATGTTTCGTTCTACGTGTATCTACATCTGCAGGGCAATAATTACGATTCACAACGTCGTTGGATTGGTGATGAGAGCGAGAACAAGTCGCGTAGGAAGAGGAAACGCGAAACGTAGCAGCACCGTTGCAGTGCCAAATGACTGTTCACAATTGGAAAACAAAATTTACAGTCAGTACTCTCTATATAGCTGCGTGATCCAGGAAAGATATGGTACAACTCCGTTTTCAATAGTATTCAAATTTTTGATCAAACTCAAAATTAAAACTAAACTAAACTCGTCAGGTTGTAGATTTAATCGTGAAAAAAATTTTTTTCTGTTTTCACATCCTGCAAAGACAATTTCTAACATCTTTAAAATAGGAAAATACAATTTTACATCATGTAATAGATATTCGAAGTTCAATAAAATGGCGGAAAGAAGATCATACATCAGGTTTCTGGTAGGTAGTTGTAAAAGGCTTCAAGGTCATTGTTTTTGACAATATCCAAATTTTTTGATTAAACTGAAAACTCAAGATTAAAATTAAACTAAAAACTCATCAGGTTTCTGAAGATGGTTGTTAAGGGTGTACGAGAACCCGAATATATCGGGAACCGGATGATCGGGACGAGTCGGGTCGGGTTGCCGAAAATTTCGAGATTCCCAAAGGAATCGGGTTTCCCGAAAAAGTCGAGATTCTCGAAAATTTCGAGAACCTGGCTACCGTTTTTCGAACTACTCTACAACGCTGTATAACAGCCTACAAAATATGTAAATACATAGTTTAATTTCTTCTGCCAGTGAAGTTATTGGAAACACGGATTCTAAGAATCGTGTGACCTGATGTAAACGAACGTGTGACTGCGTGCTTAGCATTTGGACATTATGTACGCTGTTGAGCAGTATCGCTGAGAAACTCGGGAAATTCAGACGTATATATTTCAAAATCTGTGTGAATTTAATAAAGATTGAAAATCTTTAAATGTCGAGTGGTAGTGAGAGTAAAGTTGTGTTAGCAGGAAGTAGCGCGGAAGATATCGTGCAAAGGAAGAAGATAAAGAGAAGCTCTGTTTGGGAACATTTTCAAGAAAAAATATGACACAAAGGCGGAATGCACGCATTGTCACCATGAATTTAAAACTAAGTATGCAAATATTACTGGTTTATTACGCCATTTCAGGCATATGCATTCGAACATTAGTGTATGTACTAGAAACGAAACTGAATCGATACAAAATTTGTCGCTGGTACAAAATGATACGCGAAAGATTTTTAAACCAAAAGATATAACAGAAGGAATTGCTCGAATGATGGTTCTAGATCTGCGACCTTTCGATGTAGTTGAAAGCGTCGGCTTTAACGAATTATTTAAACTTGGCCCCAATCCTTTCCCAAATCCTTTCGATTCTTTCGAAAATTCCGATAAATTCGAGAATCTCGTAATTTTCGGGTACCCGTCCGAAAAAAATTTCGTGTTCCTGATATTTCACGCTTTCGCGTACTTCTAGTGATTGTAAAAATTTTTTCTATGCTTTCACATCCTGTCAAGACAATTTCTAACATCTTTAAGTAGGAAAATATCTTCACATTCCCATTCTTTACACGACGCAGAAATATCTTTAACAAAAGAGGGAAAAAAAACGAAAGAATGATCAGTGCATTGTGAAAATAAAGCATACATTCAAATGAGACCTGATCGAGATAAGATCGGCATTCTCGATGTAAATTCCACGCATCGATCATGATTGTATGTCTGCGTGACCCGACTTCGATATAGGAATTCTGTACTCGTTGAAATGTCGTAAATTCTTTAATCGAGGATAATTGAATAGAACGTCGAAAGAGCTTCGAGGAGTTTGAAGGATTTGAACGATTGAAGAGGTCTTAAAAGGAACGATCGTGGAGAGACTTTTAATTTGGGCAAATTGACAGAGGCGAGGAGAGACTCTGATGGTTGTGATTAAACAAAGAAGAAGAGATATACGAAAGAGTAATTTGGGTTTTCGTAGTTAATATTTGTTGTTCTCAGTGGTTTAAAGTTGAGAAGAAAATGTTTTAAACTGAAGGTATATTATTACAATTCAAGGTATACTATTCGCAATTATTGGTTTACGTATGTACGCAGCTTGCTTGCTTGCTAAGGAATAATAAGAACGAGTCCAATGAACGGAGCTAAGAATGTTTATTCTGGAATAAGAAATATTAGCAATATCCTTCTAGGAGTATTAATAGAGAAATTCTGTTGAAGTCTCTAGATTCTTCGTCGTTGATTTTTAGATTCTTAATCGCTGGTTTTTAGATTCTTAGACGCTGGTTGCTTAGAAGCAAGAAGCGAGAAGCAAGCTGAAATTTTAAATCTGGAATCTAGAATCTAGAATCTTTCTTTCTCTCTCTCCTAAATTTGTGACAGAAATTTAAAAATCTGTAGTCAACAAACAAAAAACATAAATCGATAAACCTATATCCCTCGTGTTGCTGAGAGTATTCAAGTTATTACAGAATAGAAACAGTTTTCGAGTTCTATCAATATAGTATCATGGCCTCGATAAAACGGTGCAAATGGCACAGCGGACTCTGCAATTTTTGCATTTATTGATATCGATGATTGCGAATTCGTCTAGTGTTCTCGATACTCGATACTAATGAATTTCCTCGTGAAATGAATCCAATTTGTATCGAAATTGAGCAGTCTCGATTGATGTCATGACACAAAAACATAAGATATCTCGACTGCCATGCATCATTGTTCATGATTAAAAATTATTTACCGATCGTAATTCTATTTTTTGTGATAAATTTGGAGCTTTTATCGCTCGACGATTTTATAGTCGAAAATTTATAAAAGATACATGTCATTTGCATTAGTGGATTTTTTAATTATGTTTTCAACAGCGTGTACTTCCATTTCTTGAATTTTTAGATGGACAAGCATAATAGTCATTGTTAGATTTACAATTTTTTAGAATTTTACTGTAATATTTGTTTCTATCGAATCAAAGACACTTATCCCTAATTGTACTTTCAATTTTCTTGCGAAACGTTTCCTTCAGTTGAAAGATTTTCATAAATTATTATATTATTATTGCTGTAGTTACCACCAATTTTTATTAATATTTATTAAAATTTTTATTAATATTTACTACTTCTTAAATTCTGTTAATTTTACGTAGACCAAATCGTGGTCACATACTTTACGTAATTTCTCAAAGTCGTGCTACGGAGTTCAGTAGAATTTTACATAAAGCGAGTGTTCAATACGAGCAGATGATGATCTCGTATAAAAGAGATGGAATTAGAAAGTGACCAGAAGACGGTCACCTTCATTGCAAGGAAATTTCTCTTTTTTACAATGAATTTTTATCGGATAGAAGGGTCCGAGACAAAGCGTTGAAGTAGAAAGTCTATCTGCCTGCTGGCGCTTCCTTCTTCCTTCACCCTTTGAACGACGAAAGTGCAACCTGGCTCGAGCGATCGTGAAATTAGTTGTCTCACTATTCCAATCAGAGCTCTCTTCGAAGTGTTACGTTTCTTTCTCAGCTTCGCAGATAATTAAATCGCCATTCGTTCGTTCGCTCGATGATCGCAGATGTTTCCGTTGCTGAAGCTTCTACTTACTTCACGCAACGATAATAGACTTTTTCATTAATTCTTTTCGATAACTAGATAAAAAGAAAGATGAGAATAAAAATTAAATGAAGACGAAATTACTAAAGATATCGAAGTAAATATTGTTGCATTCCTTTAGTTCGAAGTCGGACGTTATTAAAATAATAATGAACATTAGATGAAACAAATAATAATTTTCAATCGGCAAGGAATTTTATTATACAATCTCTGTTAATGGCAGTTCTATCTAAGAAACATTGTTTATATATAAAAATTCTTAGAACTGTCGTTATATAAATCTCATGCTACAATAATCGTATTTACTTTTGTTGTTTCAGTAGATAGTTTCATTTACTTGACTGAAATATAATATAGTTTTGTTTATTCGAATATAATATAATATAGCATCAAAATGGCACAAATATGGTGTCCATTGAATTAATAAGCTTCTTCGATAAACCCATGTCGTGATTTAAGTTAATTTTATTATACAATCTCTGCTAATGGCAATTGTATCTAAGAAACATTGTTTATATATAAAAATCCTTAGAACTGTCGTTATATAAATCTCATGCTACAATAATCGTATTTACTTTTGTTGTTTCAGTAGATAGTTTCATTTACTTGACTGAAATATAATATAGTTTTGTTTATTCGAATATAATATAATATAGCATCAAAATGGCACAAATATGGTGTCCATTGAATTAATAAGCTTCTTCGATAAACCCATGTCGTGATTTAAGTTAATTTTATTATACAATCTCTGCTAATGGCAATTGTATCTAAGAAACATTGTTTATATGTAAAAATTCTTAGAACTGTCGTTATATAAATCTCATGGTACAATAATCGTATTTGCTTTTGTTGTTTCAGTAGATAGTTTCATTTACTTGACTGAAATATAATATAGTTTCGTTTATTCAAATATAATATAATATAGCAACAAATATGGTGTCCATTGAATTAATAAGCTTCTTCGATAAACCTATGTCGTGATTTAAGTTTATTGGTTTTTCGTTACTAATAAAATAATTATCGTTTTAGATGAGTTGCAACTGTCCATTAACCCCTTCGACTGGACCGACCTTAGCATCAACATGCGGCGGTTCGTCCTTCATGCTGTTCATGGGCCTTTTAGAAGTATTTCTCCGCAGCCAGTGCGACCTCGAGGATCCATGCAACAGGCCTCTATCACCGCCTACCGTTAATTCTAGGTGAGATGCTTCAAATATCCTTTCAAACGATGTTTATTATTAATGGAAGGAATTGTGATTTCTTCTTTTGACGATAATTTATGCAATATTTGTTGAATATACAATTTAATGAATATACAATGTATTGTATTATAATTTATTCTATTGTTGACATTGAACTCTCAGATCGCATCACGGCCAGACGAAATGACAAATTGCCCTTTGATAGAAAGAATTCGATAATCCAGAAACTGGTTTCGATCGAGATCGAAAAGAAAGAAGACCGAATATCGATTAGAAACCCTCGGGCGTGTATCTGTGATATCTCTTTTCGGAGTTGCTTTTATGAATACTAAATTAAGAGCGTTCTAAAACGAGACAGTGAGTTCGTTGTGAGATTTGAATTTAGAGAGGCTAATAAATATATATATATATATATATATATATATTCACACACACATATACACAAAACACACAAAAACCAATCATACATACGACTGTCGATTTTCGTTTTATTTCGCGAAGTATCGTTCGATACTTTGTCTCGCTGTCTAGATAAATCCATAAGGATTTGTATTTCATTTTCCACGTCCTGTTTGGATGAAATCCTCTTGCCAATTCTAAACCGATATCTGTTTTGCCTGTGCACACAATACGATTGCATTCGTCATTTCTCCGCATATGTATTTTTAAAGAATTAAGTCAATAAAATTGGTATCATTGCGTGATGAACTTATATATTTGTTACTCGCCTTCAGATCGTTTGATCAAAGAAAAATTCATATGAACGAAATTGACGTTTGCGGTGAAATATTGCCCGAAAGCTTCGAAGAATACTAAAAACGTCGATATAGTGGCACGTATTATGTAATTATGCTCCCGTAAGGAAATTTTCGTCTCGCACGTCCATTTTAATTTTCACATTACCTCTCCGTTATATAATATTTTTAAATTCACTGTCACTTTTAATCCAGACGTTAAATTTTCTCTTCCGACGTAACTAATTGTAGGTACTTCATAAATCTATTTCGCTCGAGCGAATTGTCATGTTCAGTGTGAGATTGATAACATGTTTCATAAGATTCGCGAAAACATTAAATCGCGTATGCGATATGTTAGCGGATAAACGTCTCGCTTACGTATACCTTCTCAATTAATTAATAAACGAAAATTAAATTTAATTTAATACTTATGAATATGTATCGATACTTATGAATTTTTATTCAATTCATCGAAAGTTCGTTCGGAAAAATTTTCACGTTTTTTATCGTTGATTTTCGCCAGCTTCCTACAAATTTTGCAATTCATTTCATCGTTTGGTTGGATAGAATTATAAAATTATTTGATTAAGTGAAATAAAAATTAGTGAAATAATGGAACTAAAACAAAAATATACGTATGTAGAAGCCAATAGAATAATGAAACTACAGTGCTTTCAGTGCGAAGAGAAACAGAAAATTTCTCGGTAGAAAAAATACTTTCGTAAGTCTTTGTTCAACAGCATGTCGCAAATTCTATTCGCTAGTCCGCTGCAAAATTCCAATTTAAGCCGCAGTTTACCCTAAAACCTACCATCTCGTCAAATAACGTTACACTCATGTTGTCCTTTTCTTTTCTCTAAAGAAATAATTTTCACATTAACTTCAATACAATTCTAACTTTAACGTTTCTCGAGACTCCTCTTTCCAATATATGTAATTTACTTCAAAGGTTTTTAAACTTCCGGGTGCATCTAGAAGCAAAAATTTGGATCTAGAACCAACTATAAAAATTTAGAACTAACTGTATTCAACGACTGTATTGACGCTTGTGTCACAAACTGTCAATTATACGCTTATTGACACCTAAAAGACCCAAATAACGTGTTGAATGTTTTAGCAATAATTTCAGTAAAATCATTTACTATATTCGACAAATGTGTTATGAAGTGCAGTTATTTACACCTAAAAAAAAAAAAAAAACACTTGAGTAAAGTCTCCAGTATATTATCGATAATATTCAATAAAAATTTTAGTAAAATATTCAACACACGTCAATATCACTTTAATCCTTTGTCTTTTCCATCATCATCATCTTTTCTCTGACTTCCGTATATGCTTCATAAATCCTTAATCCTTCCTATTCCCGTGTGCCACGTCGCTTCGTTTCATTAGAGCCTCAACGAAGCATCAGAGCGGCTCGAAAACGATTCCGGAAGAATTTCAAACGAACGACAAACAACGTTACACGAACAGGAACCAGAATGTCTGATGATCGGGTCGGTTGAACGACACCGAAGAAGACCCTCTTAATTGTCACAGACACGGTTCACGTATTACCGTACAGAAACTAGAAACTAGCCTGTCGTCTCTGTCGCTTTCGGAAGCATCCGTGCATAATATACAGTCAGTCGCAAAAGTCTACGTACGTCTGGAAATTTTGAAGTTAAAACTTGAAGAGGAACAAGGATTTCATATTTTGCAAATACCAATTTATTTTAATTTCTCTTTGAATTTGTACGAACTGCAGCTATTGATTTTGAATTCTTGAAGACTCACGTTTTTAATGATATCACAATTCGAATTTACCTGACGTTTCTAGGCTAATAATTAAAATCGATTTAGTTTCTTAAATTTCTTTTTTAAGAAATATCTGCGAATGTCTTTTTTTTTTAGGAAAGCTTGTGGTTGAAATCTTAAAAAGATATTAGAAAAATAGCATGGTCTATTTTTTTTTTTTTTTTAGATTTTCTTATATACTTTTTACTCTTTTTCTAAGTCACTTTTCTATTTTATTTTTTTTTTTTTAGTAATACACGAGTATGTCTTTGAATAAAAGTTCTTATTTAAAATAATGAAATGTAAACATGATCCGATTTAAAACACTCACAGTCCAAATTAGGAAACCAGTTTCCTATTAAATAATATTTTCTTGCAACCAGCCACGAAATGTTTCAGTCTATTTCATTAACTTTATGTATCAATCGGAATATCAAAATTGCTGTCAAATTTTTCTGCATTTCTCAAGACTTCTCAACGCGTCTTCTCTCCATCGACACACGTACTTTCTGAAATGGCCCAAATCGATGGTAACCAATTTTTAAAGTCCATGAAACGTCCAAAATATTTCTTCTAACCGTTCTGTTTAAAAATTCGACAGACGCCTGTAGAGATTTCTGCCACTGACTGTACGTATCCGTGAAATCGTTGCGTGTACTTATGTATCCACGCGTAATAGACCCCGGGTACCATTGTTCCAATGATTCTCTCACGTTGCATCACGCCTGCCTCCGTGAATCTGCGCTTGTACTTTACTTATGCCGGATGCTTACTGAGGCAACCGGTTTCGACTGTTAGGTCTTTCGTGCTGTTGTTTGAAACAGCCGCGAACCCGTGGCCTGAGTTATAGGTAATTGGGTGAAATTGAAAGTGCATCGTTCAGGACGGTTCGAAGCAACGTGCGCGCCAGATTTTCTGGAAGATTCAGACGCGGTCGGGGTGAAATTAACGAGACGAAAGTACGAAGAAAGTCTGTGTCGTTGAGAGTCAAGTAACGTTATTGATTGTTGAAGTTCAAAATTGCATTTTGCAAGAAACGCGAAAACTTTTGGAAGAAGAAAAATTGCCAGAAGTTAGTTGTTAAGAATAGTTAATTATAGGATAATTAAGGATTAATAATATTATAATATTGTAATATAATATAATAATATTATAGGTACATAATAGGTAATGTACGTATAGATATATAATAAAATATAATATAATATAATAATATTAATAATATTATAGGATCAATTAAGGATAGATAATTTTTAAAATGCTGAAAGAATTTTTGATATATTCAAATAAATTTACTAATATTTTATTATGTTAATATTATTATCTACTATTAATTTATTGTTATTATTCTATGTAAGTTTGAAAGTTTAAAATTGTTCTGTGTATAAATTTAAAAGCACTTCACGAGATACAAGAAATTTTCGAAGATCTAAAGTTTAATACTAAATATATATATTAAGAATGATATATTATTCTCTACTAAATATACCAATTATTTTATTATTAATTATATCTATACAATACAATATTCAATATTAATAGATATAATCTGTTAACAAGTGAAAGTATACATTAAAATCTATAATACCACAGTAATATAACACCTAACAACAATATTAACATTACGTTGTTTAATTACGCATTTTATTTCTTTTCTTTTTATTTTCACACTGTTTGCTTTTTTTTGGTTCATTTCTATTTATTCCTTATCCTTTGTATTACTCTGGTCTGAGATATATCTAAAGAATAATTTGCATCCTCGGTACAGTGTTCTATGAATAGCATAGTTATTGAAACGTTATTGTAATCCTCAGAGGGAAAAAAAAGGAATAATTACACTTCTGGATCAATTAGTATCATCGAGCAGAGAAAAAGATTTCATAATTTCGATTTAAATATTCTTATTAGACGCGCTCGGTTCTCCAACTGTTTGCCACTGTTCGCCAAGTCATTATTACCTCCTTAGACACATACACACGTACATTTATTACTACATTCTACGCTGTTTCATTGAACTTTTTTTGCGTCACTTGCCACGTTGTTTAGCGCAAGCATCTGGAATACAATAAGAACGAAGGATGAAGCGTTATTAACTGATTTCTCGGGAGATACATACGCATGTTCATCGGTTCATATGCATTTAATTAGCTTGTTTTCGCGTTTCTCATACGTGTCCACGAATTACGTAATACGGTTCTTCTACGTAATTTGACACAGTGTGACACAAGACGATGCAGCGATCCCACATTCTTTTCATTTTATGCTTGTCACGTATGAATGTGGATAAACGCCTTTTTCTACGATGCTATAATTGCTTTTATCACACACGTCGCACACTTTATGCACATGCTTATTATAAATCATACTTATTTACATTTACTGTATTTCGTTATACGCGTTATACACTTATTCAACACTCGTGCAACGTTCTTTCTCAAAATTCCCTCTCGAGAAGTATATTATAAAAATTCAAACGTTCGTGAAAACGTGAAAAGATGTTTCTCGTGACTCGAGAGCCACCATCGTTTTGGAGATTGAAGTGTTCCTTTTTGATAGATGCTCGTCGAATTTGCTATAAAGTTTTTCTTTTCTTTTTTCTTTTCATAGTTTTAAATAATTAAAGTTAAGCGAGAAAAATTTAAAAAATCCCAATATTTCGTCATCTAACCCTAATGTTCAAAATTCAATATAAAATAGAGGGGGGAAAGTCGTACAGTAAGTTTTAGGGGAAATAGTTGTAAAGAGATCTCAATAGATCGTAGATGATTAAAAAAAACTTGTCGACATTAATCAGTGTAGATCGCTTGTGCAATATAAACATTCTTTCTCATATGGTTGCCACAATATAATAACTAAACTCTTTTATCGTCTGATAAAAATATTATACATATTATTTGAACCTGTATATGATGTATTAATATAATAATTGCATTATTACGTATGAAACGTGCTATCATATTGGGTCGGAAATCTTAATACAAGTCACATTTCATTTAAAAATCTAATTTATATCATACAATGATATACACGTACATGAAAATTTACCATCCGAAAAATCTGTGATTCTAATTTACCTTTAGAATTTACATCGATATCACACAATTAACTCGAATCTGTGTAAACGTATCAGATCAATATCAAAGATCCTGAACTGAACGTTTCAACAAACCGCAACGCTGATTAATGACAATATCGATGGAAACGATTGCAAAAGTGATAATAATTTCGCTAACAAGACGCGTTAATGAAAACAGGTTTTCCAGGTTATTTATCATTGAGAATATAATGCTACGTTTCAGTTCGCTTCTGTTAACTGTGATGTTAACAGGTAGCGCGATTTGTTGAAATTAGCTGGAAAAATTCTGTTCCTTTATGGAAGAATTCTGTTGCGCAACAAAGTGGTAGCATTGAGGAATGAATGATGGCTCGTGAATTTTATTTTACGACCCATTTTGGTTGGAGGGAATAAGAAGAATTGGCTAAAAGCGGGAATAGAGTAACGGGCTGTTTCATGCAGTTTCATAAACGATATTGCTCGTAGACATTGCAGAAATAGCTATAGTTGTAGACAATAAACAGTATTTCTTGTATTAATCAAACGAAAAGAAATTGTGATTAAAACTTTCAACTTTTTGCTTAGCCGACTTTTTACATAATTGTAAATGAATATACTTGTGCATATCTTTGCAATAAGCTCACTTCAAAACGTTCAAACAGTTAACAAGTAGCGACAGCAAATATATATATAAAGAACTCGCAAGTATTCTGCTTCACGTAGAGAAATTGGTTTTCTTGCACTTTAATTAACTGAACCTTAAAGAATATTTACTTCATTTTTAAGGACGTTCGATAAATTAAAGCAAAATACACGCCCACAGTTTAATATTTAATGAGATACAATGAGAATTTTTCAGAACGAATTACAAGTGAAATAAAATTTGTACTTTTGTATCAGGGTTAATTAATTTATTTTAATAATCTAATTATCTCGAAAATAAATGATCTAAATATGTATAAATATATTATTATTTTTGTTAAGTAAAAAAAATAAATATATATTTAAAAATTAAATGTTTATCGTATTTATTGATATCTAGTTTTCTTTTTAAATAAATTGACGAAAATGTATATAAAATTTTATACGAAAATTTTTAGAAATTATTTAATTATTTATTATGCAATTCGAGCGGTTTCATTGCTGTTGAATGTGTTGACTGTTCGCAAACACGTTTAGAAAAATTGCTTCGAAATGAAATGCCACGGGCTGAAGTAAAAGTGAAGAGTGAAACGAGTGTATCACATCAGATCTTTTAATATTTGAATTGATGCGTTAACCGAGAATTGCCAATCTCTTTTGGATGAAATAACTCCTTCATTTAAAATTCATTTCTCTATTTTTCCACATTGTGATTTCGTTGTTAATAAAAATGTTATTACATCACGCTCACGTATCCAACGACTAAATAATCTCTCCTCTTGTTTATAAAAATTTTTTAGTAATTGAATGATTCCATTCCAATAGATCAGCATGGACATATAATTTTGTGAGATAATTTTGACATAACTGACGTAAAATTTAGGAAATCGGTAAATAACTTTAGAAAGTAATCCAATAAAACTATGTTTTAAAATATAAGGAATAGAATCAAAGAAATATGTGTGCATACATTAATTCAATCACAATTAAATATGCATATATAGTAATTTAATTACAGAGGGAAATAATGGACAAAGTATTCAAACATTAATAAGAGACGCTATATTTAAACTTGAAGTACAAAGTCTGTTTAACGAAATTTTACGTCCATTCATCTAAATCCAAATCATCCTCGCGTTGGTGGACACTTGAGGAAAGCCGGAATGAAAGGCACACCGGGCCTCATTCACGGCCATATTTTCATCAGCGCATAAAGTTGTCGTCCCTCGGCGAGGCAAGTGTATTACCTACATTTCGCATAGTGCGCACGGCTGCCATGCACCTCGTGGCATTCAAAATGCCATCACTTATAGCACGAACGTCCCCAACAAACTCCTGAGAAATCCACCTTTCGCTCGACAGACGCTCGGCCGGACTGTGGGACTTTCGTTCCTCTAACCCAGTTTCTAATTCGCGCGACAGTAATTGCGCGTTCGTGAAGATGCGATGATTTTTACCATTAGAAGAATGACACTGTGACGGCGACGAACGACCGATTCGTCAGCCTACTCACCTGTAAAAAGTGAAATCGTAACCTTGTTTGAAGTGGCCGGCATTTCGTAAGAAGTGTGCAGCTGATTCATGTAACTTGACTTTGAGGAACAGATTACGCGATAGAATTTAATTGCAATTGAGGCACTTATTACGTGTGAGCGAACACATTGGGAACACTTGGGTCGTTTCATTGCTGTCTGTATCCAGAGGCTAGACATTTAAAGTAAGTGATTACACATGCACGTAGTAAATAATGCAGATAGCCGCAGGTGGTTAAAATGACGATGAAACTCGAAAATTCTCCGGCCACCGGGCTTCAAGCGTTCGAATGGGAAATATAATAGCGATTTCTTAATACGTGATATAAGATTATGCAACAGTGGCGATCGAATGTCTTAGAAAGTAAGTTCTTCGTTCATTGCGTTACAATATTAATTTCAAAGGACGTCGAGTGTCCACCAGTGAATCGCTTCAATTTATATTGAATCCCTTTGTATTAATTTCAGATACGATTTTGTAGTTATTGGGGGTGGCAGTGCGGGCGCGACAGTTGCGGCACGGTTGTCGGAGGAGCCACGATTTTCGGTGTTACTGTTAGAAGCTGGCCTGGATGAACCCACCGGGACGCAGATACCTTCGTTCTTTTTTAATTTCATTGGCACTAACATCGATTGGCAATACAACACCGAGAGCGAAGATACTGCTTGTCTGAATAAAGATGATCGGAAGTGTTACTGGCCTAGGGGTAAGGTATGTATCCCTGAGACTCTAAAGTTGAAATAATCTTCAATCTTTCGCGATTTTTGTTCTGACACACGTCGAGAATAATTTGCTCAGATTACATATTTAGGATATTATGTACAGTATCATTCTTTACACACTGATTAGATGTAACAAATATTTGATATTTGCAAATTTCACAATTTAATATACTATATATATATATATATATAGTAATTTAATATAGTAAATATATAGTATATATAGTAAATATATATATAGTAATTTAATAATTATATATATTTAAAATTATAAGAGTTATTATTATTATTATAGATGTAAAAATTGTAAAATTCTTCCAATATACATTTCACAAATGCAATCAGTGATAATTCAAATTAATCTCACAGGGATATATACAATAATGGATGAGAGAAAATTTATGTCATGGAAATTTTAGAGCACGCAGAAATTATATTTGACAAAAGCAATGAACGTAAAATATACTTCAGAACAAACTGTTACCATTTTTACCAGCGATAAAGAGTATAATAGACTACATATTGGCACTTATCGTGTTCCTGTCTCGATTTCTCTTTCGTCCGACATTGTACAAACGGCAAACGGGCAATAAACGAGTGGGTAATTAAAATGTTCTTCAGGTGTTGGGTGGAACCAGCGTTATGAATGGCATGATGTATATGAGGGGCTCACGAAAGGATTACGATGACTGGGCGAGGCTTGGAAACATAGGATGGTCTTATCAAGATGTCCTTCCGTATTTCATCAGGAGCGAGGATAATCTTCAAGCAAACATCATGGATTACGGTTATCACGGTGTCGGTGGACCACTCACAGTCACACAGTTCCCTTATCACCCGCCCTTGAGTTATTCAATCCTCGAAGCTGGAAAGGAACTTGGTAAGTCATACTAACTCCATAAACTATTATTTAGCGTGACGAAATGATTTATTTAGTTAGCTTGATCAATCGTTGGACAGAAGATAGTTTTATACCGATATACCTGTGACATACTTTTCAATGGTCTAACAATTACATGACGTTTACATGGCTACAATTGTACATCTCAATGTAAAATCGCTCAATAAATTCATATAAGCTTCAAACAAGATCAGTCGTGAAAATTTAATAAATCACTGATGATTTGTCGCAGTGCAAATTCATTAAAGGATTGCAAAGGAAATCTGAGACTTTATACTTGGGTAATTGACAATTGAATTTGTCAGGCTTGTCGACAGCTGATACTTTAATTACCGGAAATTACAAACGAATTAAATTGAATTTACTCAAATTCACCCTGCTTTTTTTAGTAAAATTCCAACTGTGTAACAGTTAATTTTGTCAAAGATGCATTCCCAAGCATTCCCAAGGAACAGCAGGACAAACAAGTTGGGAAAAAGAACTCTCTGTTTACCGTCCATTACGCCAGTTACAGTAAAACGAAATTCGCGAGAAAGTCGTGGTAAAAAGTGGACAAAACTCGAGCAACAACAACGAGTCGAGCCGCTTGATTCGATTCGCGTTTAACCTGTTATTACGCGGCAACGAGGAACTCGTTTCTTCTTTATTTAGTTGTTATTTCTCCTTGCGGTGAGTCTTGATGGCTCGTTTTGACCATCCATCGAAAAACCAGTTGCGGGATTCTGGTTCACACCTGTCAATTACGACATCATTTTCTTCGGTAGCTAACAATGGTGATGCACGATTTCGATAATGAATGAAACGACCTTGTTACGAGTTTGTAAGTGGCACACGTGGTCATTTCTTTTTTTTTTTTCTCCTTCTTTGAATTCTCGTGATCGATGCCGAATTTCCAGAGCAGAAGAATTTCGATACAAACGAAAAGTTAACAAATAAAAGTGGATTGATGTCGTAAATGATATTTGTGGGTCCAAGATGCTTTTATGTAACACACGACCACTCCCTCTCTTAAATAATGTCCAAGTTGTAGAAGATTTAAGTCTCAAATGGTCTTTCAATTTTAGTTTAAAAATGAATGGAGATTTATGATTAATTTGATAACTGGCAAGTAGAAATGAATTTTCCTTTGCAATGTTATGTAATGTAATGAACAGACTGTGTTTTTATTTGTATTTTCTACGAGATGAAATACAGAAGAAAGTTTCAAACCTGAAGAGGTGATCCAGAATCTTGTAAAATTATATGTAACAAAAATACTGAACAGATGCTGATAAGAAAAGTGTCCAGCATTAAAATGAATTCTCATACACAACTCCAAAAAACGTGCTTTTCAGAAGTAGCGAAAAATTTTTAGTTTCGAAGGAAATTGGACGTTGTTTTGTTAATTAAAGAAACAACGCAATTCAAAACAATATACTTGTGATAGCCGAGACAAAATTCATAATAATAATTCCTTTTCACTGGCCAAATCATGAAGATCGACGAATGAGATTTTCACAATTGACGAAGGGCTATCTCTTGCAATAGTTTTACTGTGATAGCTCGAAAATCATGTCTTTTTAGTTGGATCGTAAGAGAACGATATATTCGTAACTTGTAGGACCCTTCGGAAGCTGATTGTACGCCTAAAATGATGAAAAAAAGTCATATAAATATAAGTCCTATCTGTCTTCGTTTATGAGATATAATAAATTTTATAAACAGAGCAAACTCTAGTAAGCTAGTTTTACCACGGATGGTATATTCAATTTTCATAATAATCATAATTGGGATGAAGAGAAAACCCACATATTATTGTGCATTCAAGACATCAACACAAGTTTAGTTTAAACGTATGGGCAGGAATAATTGATAAATTTTTAATTGGACGATTTTTTTCTCGATGGGAAACCAACAGGCACAAAGTACGTTGATTTTTTGAGTACCCGTTTACACAAAATATTAGAGGAAGTTCCAGTCGATATTAGACTTCGTATGCGGTTTATGCTCGATGGAGCTCCGCCGCATTTTAGCCGAGTGGCTAGGCAATTTTTAAATCAACACTTTGCAAATAAATGGATTGGTCGTGGAGGTTNGGGGACATTTAAAATCTATTGTATACGCAACATCGATTGAAAATGCTGAAATACTACGAATTAGAATAGAGCAAGGCTTCCGACAAATTCGAGAAACACCAGGAATGATAGAGAGAGTAAGCAGATGAATGACAAGACGCGTGCAGGCTTGTCTTCAAATGGCAAGGTGGTCATTTCGAGCATCTTTTTTAAAAGTAATTAAAACGGAAAATTCATTAGATCTCATAAACGAAGGCAGATAGGACATATATGACTTTTTTTCATTATTTTTAGGCGTACAATCAGCTCCCGAAGTGGGTCCCACAAGTTACAAAACACCCTGTATATATATACATATTAGTACCGTACAGACAATTTTAAACTTTCTTTATAAGTTTGCATAAATATTCGTAGTCTAGCAATTGTTACACAAAAGAAATAAATGCCTTGGCTAATTATTTACAGGTTACGGTACCGCGGACCTGAATGGACGAACTCACACCGGATTTGCCATAGCCCAAACGACCTCGAGAAACGGTTCGCGACTTTCAACGGCCCGGGCATTCTTACGCCCAGCCAGAAATCGACCGAATCTTCACATAATGCTCAATTCCACGGCCACCAGGATCTTGTTCGACAACAACAAAAGGGCAGTTGGCGTGGAATTCGTCCACGATAGAGAGATTCATCGAGTTTCTGTGGCGAAGGAAGTGGTCGTGAGCGGAGGTAATTATCGTCTTCGATGTCGTCTAACTTTGTTACGATAACGTTTCTCAATCGAAGTGATCGGATCTAGCCGCGGAAAAAATCTTTTCTCGATTGTTCTCGAAGACGTTTTCGAATTTCAAAGTAAAGATTTTCACTCTTGAAAATGGGACCAAAGTTACAACAATTTAACGTAATCTTCATAGTATGTGGATAAGTAAATTTCCTATTTGTATAGATGCAGATTTCTTTTTGAATTTGAATTTACTTTCTGTAAGTAAATAAACTATACATTAAGCGTATAATAAATAATAATCGAATTTCTACGTATTTCGAGTCGAGGAGATTTGTCGTAGCAGAAGGAAATTATCATATTCTAGAGATTTCCAATTGTATCATACACGCGTCGTGTAAAATTACATACGATCTATGTTTATCCATCGTTTCGATGTAATATCAAGCAACGTGTGAAATGATAGCTGTCAGTCAAGTTTCAAGCCTACCGAAAAAGGAAAGCAGGAAGGAATGCGTTTCACTATCGAGATCAGTTATCTCTTGCGGAGAAAAAAAAATCTCATTACCGGAGCACTTGAATAATCAAGTCCCAGATCTGTGTTACCTTATGCTGGATTTCTACGATCAAACATGGAAACTTAATCTTCCGTTTCCAATTTTAGTTGGCTGCGGTAAAATACGATAACGGAAAATCGCGGATTATTTCGCGTTTCTAAACTACCGGCTGAACGTGAGCGATATTCATTCGCGTTAATAAAGGATCTGTGTTTGTTCAGCATTTGTCGGAGAGAAACGTTGCTCTGTTTTGTGATGTGTATAACACAAAAATCTCAACTTAAGCTGTACTAAACTATACATCTCTACAAAAAAATAAAATTTGACCCGAACGTTGTAAACGCTAAAATTTCTAAAACGAACTAATCTTTTCCAAAAGAAATTACAAAACTTGACGCAAACCAGTTATTAATATCAAAATTATATCAAGTGACAAAAAAGTGGTAAAATCTTTAATTTAAAACTTTTGGAAACGAAATATTCTTACAATACAGCTTAATAAATTCTCAGACAAGAAGTTATAAAAATATTAAATATTATAAATATTAAAACACATTACTGTACAAACTCAAAAATTTAAGTAAGAATTCATGACAAAATCTTGTACATAAATCGTTTCTTTTTTCCTTGAAAAATACAAAATGAATATAAAATCAGTTATAATAATAAGACATACAGAAAATATTCAAGGTTTTCAGACAGTCTTGTGTTTAAAGATTCTTCGTCCAAACAGTAATTAGTCTCATTGAAATTATTGTTCGTGATCCATAATTGTAATTACGCGTTGATATTCTCAGAAATGACAGAAATTGTGTCTTTTGGAGAACAAAGGAAGCAAAGATTGCTGCGGAAGAAGATCAAAGAGTCCTCGACAACTCTCATAAAGGGACTGTCAGTGATCATTATATAAGAATCAACGCTTGTTACATGCTTGTACAACTTCAGATTTTTACTTCATACGCGATGTCCTCGTAATTCAGAAATTTTATTATCCGCCCCAAATGTAATATTAATACCGGGTATTAAAAATAATAAAGAGTATCGTAAAACTCTTGAACAAGTTAAAGCGAACTTCGTCGTCGTTTCTCAAAAGAGATGGCGAGACACGATTTTCAGTTTACAAAAAGCTGAAACCTGATGAACGAAACAACGCAAAAGAGTCTGGTTTCCCTCAAGGTCTGCGAGTTTTATAGCCCTATCCTTTTGTAACTGCAAATATTTCATCGTTGTTAAAAAATATGGCATCCGCCTTTTTTACCGTAAAATTTTTTTACGCAGGCGCAGTTAACTCGCCGCAGATACTTTTGAACAGCGGTATCGGTCCTCGAGAGGACTTGAATGCCGTCGGTGTCCCCGTTGTTCACGATCTGCCTGGCGTAGGTAAAAATCTTCACAATCACGTCGCCTATACGCTGGCCTTCACTATCAATGACACTGACACGACGCCTCTCAACTGGGCAACTGCGATGGAGTACCTTCTCTTCAGGGATGGTTTGATGTCTGGCACCGGTAAGTAAAAAAGACAACTTTACTTGTGATATATTTTATTGTATGACGTTGTTATATTATTATATTATTATCCATTTACTAATATTTTTTATGTTCATAATTTCGTTATTAATTTTTATTATTTTATTAATAAATTAATTTTTATTATTTTATTATTTTATTAATAAATTAATTTTTATTGTTTTATTATTTTATTAATAAATATTAATCATTATAATTAATTATTATTTGTAAATTAATATTAGTTATTTTATTAAATTATAATTTAGATTCTATAATTATGCAATAGCACTATTATAATACGTACAATATGTATTATAGTACCATCATAATAGGTACAATATGTATTATAGTACTATCATAATATGTACAATATGTATTATAGTACTATCATAATGCGTAAAATATGTATTATAGTACTATTATAACATGTACAATGTGTATTATAATACTATCATAATATATACAATATGTATTACAGTACTATCATAATACGTACAATATGTATTACAGTACTATTATACTATGTAATATTACTTATTATAATTTATTATTTAATATAATAAAATAGTAAATATTTATTTACTATTTTAAAAATTTGTTTATTATATTTGCGGACCGTTTCTCATACTTCTATGCTTATATGATGTGCTGTATAACATTTGGAATCTTTAAAGTGCAATCTTTCTTTAAATCTTTAATGCGTATTTAGAATGTGAGGATAACGGGATAGTTTAGTAATTTTGAACGATTTTGAATAATTTCCACGAGTTAATGAATTTCAAGATTATCTGAAACATGAAACGAAGATACTGAGAAATGAAAATTAACCGTTCATCTGTCTGTTTGAATGAGAATTTATATCCATTGAAAGATGAAGAAAATAAAGCACTAAAAAGATCTATCTTCTCGAAGCAATGATATATTATTTATTTATTAATTATTTGATATATTATTTATTTATTTATATATTAATTAATTGAAATTCAACGTCCGTGAAAGAACTTATAAACGTTATAAACGTCGGTCGTCAAACGGTCAACAAGGTGTAACACGCATAATACGCGCGACGAGTGTGCCGTATCACTTTGAAATCCTATCCGAATGAAAATCAATAATCTACATAAAGCTGCGGCGCGGCGATAAGAACAAAGAAATGTAGCAAAAGCTCATCAAATCATGGGAGTTGTATCGGAAACAATCGAGAGAGTCTGCATACAGCGAGCAGTGAAAGCGCGTTGCACAATGATCCCGTTTCGTGTTTGCCGATCAGACGGCTGACGTAACCGCGTTTCCGATCGCTCTGTTTGCCATCATTTGACCCGAAACCGATTGAAACAGAAAAAAGAAGAATGTCCCGCTCGTGTTTTTCCGCCAGCCACGCAATCCTTTCTCAGAATATTTCTCAAGTACGAATTTTACCTCCGCCAGTTTAGATTAGCTTAACGAAAAACATATTATGTGGTGTAATAGCTCAAAAAATATCTATGAATATTTAACTCTTTGCTCTTAGGTCTTATCATAACACTTATCTACTGTGACATCCACTCAGAAGGTGGATACGTCTGTAACTACCTACTTCTGTAACTGCAATTCCGAGATCGTTTGACCTCACTGCATTTGACATTTAACTACAGAAGAACATTGAAGGATAAAGTACGTCAAACAAGCTTTAATCAGACCATTGGGGTCTTATAATTTAATTTTAATGATTGCAAATTTATGTGCCTAATTTTTGATGTTTTCTTACGCTGCAGAAGAAATTTTTATTTCTATTTACCAACTTGTGTTACGAATTCCAACTATCTGAAACTGAAATTGAAGAGTTAAGCCACTCAATAGTTAATCGTTCATTCGTTGAATTTAAAATGAGAATGATTTTCAAAGGGCAATAAATCCAGCTTTTTGAACCAGCTGGTTCAAACATCTTAAGATAAAGTTGGAATTATAAAATTATCGTTGTGATATCTGTTAAACATAAGTATTGATCTAGCATTATAATGCACATTCGGTATCGCTCGTTTCGTGCATTTTGAAATATAGCCAACTCTTTGACATATGTTAGAAACATACGTTATTTTAACCTTTATTTCTTTTTTTTTTTTTTTCATATTACGTTTTTCATATTCTGTGAACTTTTCACTTTATAATTATCCTACAAAATACATGAAAATTTTCGCAGTATATTTACGTACACCGTTTTACTATGGTTGTTCAAGTTTTACGAGTCGAAACGGTCGTATAAATAACGAGGCTCGCTGACGGAATTGCGTCAATTAACGTTCGATTCGTCGCGTCTTTGTCCCGTGTTTCCGGTGTTTGTCGCCGGCTCTGATGTTTTACAAGCTCTTGCTAAGTCTTGCGCGAATCTCAAACGTTCCCACCCGCGCACTAAAACTCCGTCCCTTGGGGCAAGTTTAATTACACCACGACAATTTCCAGCGTAATGACGGAACGCTCCGGATTTTCACCTAAACGATTTTCATTCGTGGCACGTGCTACATTCCCATAATTGAGAAATTACCCTCAACGACAGTTTAGAAAATTTAAATTAGAGGCTAGTGATGTATCCGCGTTTCGAAGGTATCGTGCGAGATTTTTGTGCAAAAGTAAATGAAAAAGGAAAAAAGGACAGAATGAAATTTATCTTACAACCTCTATAGCTCCCAACCTGTGTTACTTTTTTATTTATTCTATAATGCAGTAGGTGTTTGCACCCTTGCCTTCTAACGAGGCTGTCTTCCATTAGATATTTCACTTTACAAATTTCTATAATTTCATGAAATTTGAAATTTCACCAATGACGATTATCTATGAAGTCTTATCAAGTTCAAATAACGTGATATGCGAATCGTGATGAGAACGATACAACAGAATGGCTGAAAAATGGCAGAATAAAAATAACGAACAGATCGTTAAAAGTATTGAAAGAAATTTACAGCACCAAAGTTATTTATTTAGTTGTAATACAAAACACAGAAGAGAAAGTACTTCAGTTTGATCAGTCATTGAATTATTGAAAGAATAATACTTTAAAAAGAATAACAATTTATTATAATAATAATTTAAAAGGAAATAATTTATTATAATTATAATAATAATTTAAAAAGAAATAATAATAATTTATCAAAGACTGTGAAATGTAGTTGTAGCAGTATGAATCGTTCGATTGTCTAAAAAGAATTTAATTATTCAGCCATGCTGAACGTAATTAGTTCGGATAATCGAAGTGAATACTGTGATTGTGAGGAATGGTATATTGGCATAACAACATGGTTATTCAATAAATCGTTGCGTTGGAAATCGTGGATATTGGGTAATTTTGCATTGCGTGCTATTTGGGATGTTTGAATTAATGTTTGATGAGTTCCGTCGGGTTGCGTTGTACTTACAAAATTCGATAGCGCGATAAATTTTCGCGACGCGTGTGTATACTCGATAATAAATCATAGTAGACTCTCTCGATTATGCGAGAATGAATAATCTAGATTATAAATTCAGTATCCTTTGCAATTTAATGTGTTATATGACGATTAACGTGGCGTTAGTTGGGCATAAGTTCATTTAGGCGCAACAGCACGACAGTTTAATAATTTTAAGGTAGATGGAACGGTAATATCGTTAGTCATATTTCATTTCACAATCTCTCGATACTACGTTACTCGCAATTTACTATATTCCGCAATTTAAGTTCATCGATCAACGGTTCTTATTCTTAATACGAGATTCGGAGTATATATTAGTGAATTAATTAAATTTCATCTATTATTTCCCTATAATTTCCCTTACTTGTAAATTATGTACTAAATAATTATAAATTATTACCACTTGAATTGTAAATAGTTATATTACATTGTATTTTATTTTATCGGATTATATTTAACATAATATGTAAAGATTATTAAATTATTTTTGTAATTTGATGTACACACTCTATATATAATATTTGTTATTTTTATATATAAGAATAACAAAAAAAATAATAATTATTAAAATAATAATATTTAATATGATTATTATATAATAATATAAATATTATTATTTTATAATAATTATTTTATTTAATTATACGTACATTATTGCCAAGATTTTCAACATACTTTCGCAATTTCAATTCGAAAGGCACATTTTCTCTTTTTTCTACATAAAATAACGAAAATAACAAAATTCTTTCGTTCTCAAAACTTTAACGTTATTGTCACCGCGTAAAGAGACTCGCGATATGTTTCTTTTCTCTGCAGCAACCTCTCGTGTCAATTTCTCCTTCCTATAATAATTTCTCTCGTTCCAAGAACTTGATTACAGTTAAACAGTAATTTCTCACGACCGCGTATTCTCATTTGTTACGTATTCTCTTTATAAAACTAACTCGGCATCGTTCGTAGGAGAAGCTAAATACCTTTTCGAGATATTCGATTCGAAGCGGGCGAAACTGGTTTCCAACGTAAAATTGCTCCGGGGGAAACTCGTTTTTTTATTTCGATCTTTTTCCCAATTTCCCACATCAAAGGGATGTAGCGAATGCAATCTCGCAATTATTTATAGAAAGGAACGATAGCGATGTAAAACCTCGAAGCCACATATCAATTTCTCAACTATTGACTCGCTGTGTCAATTTGTTAACTACATCTTTGCCTACGCTGCCGGTCAATCAATTTCTTAATTATTTACCTGCTACACACCGGCGACACGTGATTAATTATATTTAAAAGTAACATTTCTTTGTTCGTTGAATAATACACTTTGATCGAATAATTCTAATTAATATGACTGAGAGTGATCATTTCATGCATAATTCATACATGTGAAGTTAATTAGAGATAGAAACCGGATCGCGTCGGCAATTAATTGATGTGTTTGTTAAAATATATCGGTATATCGGTTAATTTTGTGTGCGATTTTTATAATGAAATCGCATTATTTGAGATTGCAAATGATACGGCAGTTTCACCGTTGCCGAACAATGTACAGATGTACAAGAAATTATTTAAGTATGTCTTTTCAATATATCTGCGAAACAACTGAGCAAGGAAACAGAGAAAAAAGGAAACGAGAAGTTCAAGATTATATGTATCGTTAGATGTATTTTTATACACATAAGTAGATCATCTAGATCATAAAATCTATCAATTCCAAAAATTTCAATGCAAAGACCGTCCCCAATTTTGATTCATTCTTGCATTGTGTTTTATACTTTTCTTTGATATTTTTCAATACGCTGTTTAATCTTTTATTACTAATGTATAAAACAGTAACATTTAAATTTAATCTTGTAATAGAGTAATTAATATTAATGGTCTGCAATAATCGTATAAATTTCAGTTTACCGATAATACTTAAGGACTATCTTTGGGTAGGACTGTGAATGTTCTATATTCTTTATATATTTATATATTATAATATATTTTTATATATTTATATATTATAATATATTCTTTATATATTCTTGTAAATTATACGAATATACACATAACGCCTTTCACAAATAATTATATAAATGAAATATAAATAATATTAATGACGTACAGTGTTAAATTTCAAATTAATAATATTCTACATTTTCATTTAAATCACTCTCCTATGCATTCCATGCCATTTAGTTTCTCTCTTTCCTGCTAATCAACAGGTATCTCCGAGGTGACTGCCATGATAAACACGAAATACGCGAACCCAAAGGTCGACCATCCGGATGTTCAATTGATCTTCGGTGGTTATTTAGCGGATTGTGCAGAAACAGGCATGGTTGGTGAAACGAAGGGTGCAAATCGCACAATTTACATCATTCCCACGTATCTGCACCCAAAGAGTCGTGGTTACCTTCGCCTACGAAACAACGATCCTCTTTCAAAGCCGCTGATTTACCCAAAATATCTGAGCCATCCTGACGACGTTGCAGCCATGGTGGAGGCTATTAAATTTGGTATCAAGCTGGCTGAAACTGAAGCTCTCAGCAGGTACGAGCTCTCTGATCAGCTATAATGTATACTGAAATATTGATTTCTTCTGGTTGAACGTTAGTTCTCCAGCTCTGACCTCCAGCGGGGGTCAATAACATCATCGATCAACTGTCACTTATTCTGATGAATAATATTCTCATTTTAAATACACGTCGTCAAGATCGTTTGATATAAAATTTTGATGTAAACACATAAGTTTGAGTGGTACAGATTGGTTAGAAAGCTTAAGGTTGGTCGTCTAAAATTTTAACGAGACGTTTCAGCGACGATATTTTCTTCTGGACTAAATTGTTATTTAATTTTTAGTTATTTAGCTTTTAGTTATTAACTTTCAAACAGTTAATTGTTATTTAGTTTTTAGTTATTAACTTTCACATTGAATCTTTCATATTACAGAGTACAATATAATATATGTATTGATTGAAACATATTGTTCAAAGCATACAAATATACATTCAAAGTAATTTCCTGTAATAAAATAATAAATTAAGAAGATAATTTACTCTTTCACGATTGAAGTTTGAATTTATATTAGTGAAGTATACATCTTTAAATTATAGTATAATTAAGAATTGGCAACAATTATTAAGCATGTCGTTGTAGTTTTTACTAGGCTCATGAATATTTCAAAATAATCTGAACAGCTGTAATGCTGTGAAATGCCACTTAAAATATTTTTTATAAATCTGTCTCGCATTGTAAGATTCTTCTGGAAAATTCTTTTGCGAATGTGTGTTTAAAAATCTATTTTCACCTTCGCAATTGGAGCATGTCGCTGAAGTTTGCCAGTGTATTTCAGCAGTGTCGTTTTCACGATAATTTCATAAACATAAATAGAATTTAAAATATTACAAAACGGCTTTTATAATTTAAATCCTACAATTAATTAATTATACATCTTTCACTTTGTATATCAAATTCAATAAATGGGAATTTGGATAGGAAGGCCATAATGTTTCCTCATTTTTTCCATCTGCCATAAATATTCATTGCCTTATACAATACATAACGCCACGAACATTCCTGCCATTCGAACATGCGTTTACATGTTTCAACATTATCGCAATATTTAGTTCATGATAACATTTATAATAAAAACATTAGATATAACAATAATTATTCTCACATCTTCAAACATTCAAAATTGAAATCACCTCTTCATTTCATTGCATTGCATTTATTATATGTTAACTGTTATCATTATTTCATTACTCAAAATCAACATTATTGTTGACAAATTGCCATCTATTTTTCAGATATGGATTCGAAATGGATCGGACGCCAGTGAAAAATTGCGAACACTTGAAATTTGGCTGCGACGCGTATTGGGAATGCGCCGTGAAACACGAGACCGCACCAGAGAATCATCAAGCAGGTTCTTGCAAAATGGGACCACCGGATGATCCTCTGGCAGTGGTAGACAATCAATTGAGAGTCAGGGGAGTGAGAGGAGTCAGAGTGGCGGATACCAGTATCATGCCAAGGGTCGTTTCCGGCAATACAAACGCGCCAGCTATTATGATCGGTGAACGCGCTGCGGACTTCATCAAGAGAACCTGGATCGGCTGAACGAGGCTTCATCACGAAACGGAACTTCCTCCGAAATCGAAGCGACATCGTTCGCTGGAAGAAATTTATAGTTGACCCCGTAAACTGACTCGTAAGATATGAAACTTCGACGCGGAAGTTTAATTCCTAGAGGCGACGATGACCGATTTGTTTGTGTGTTACAGCGAATGATGAAGTTTTCACCTGATGCTTTTAATTAAAGTTTCGACAAGTTAAAATAAAATTGAGAACGATTAAAATAGACATTTAAATTTAATTGTCGCTGTTTGAAATATTTTCGATTCAGAGCATTGAGTTTTACTCTCGAGGAATATTTAAAGAAGAAAACCAATAACGTTTACGTCCTGAGTTTCTTGAAAAATCAATTGAGGAGTTTCGTGGAAAGTTTAGAGATTGAAAATATGATGAATTTGATTACAAATTTCTTTCAGCAGAGAGGAAAGCTAAGGTAGCGCTGTGCGCATTTAAACATGAATAATTAATGCTATGGAAACGTATATATACGTCACTGAAGACTTTAGTGAAATGTTAAAATTTGTTCAAACAAAATTATGATTAACCTGAAAAATCTTGGGTTGTTTGTAGTTTTAGCAGATTATTCCAGCAATGGCAGCAGCTACCTCGGCTTTAAACCCCTTTTTATTTAGGAAAAGGGTACGAACTACTGTAAATAGGGTTCAGCAATAGCATCAAATATAAGTATTCTAATTATACATCTAATTATTAACGTTATTAAGTACCATGCGCATTATAACAATTTGATATTTTCAATATTTTCTTTTGAGTTTTTAAAATTTGTTATCTCAATTGCTAACAAAAAGAGTAATTTTGAAAGTGGTAAAAATTGAAGAATATACCAATGTGATTTAGAGGGGAAAAATAACTTAATAATACAATGTTCAATTAGAAATTACCCCAAAAATAGTAATAGTAGTATAATATTAATAATATACTTATTAATTAATTTTAAAAATAATTCAAATTCCCTTTACAAAATTTAGATTAATACTCCAAATTGTAGTAAGTAATAGTCGTCATATATCTATAATCTATTAGAAATAAATAACAACAAATTATTAAAGTGTATTTTTAAAAAGACATCTGCTGTTCAAATAAAGAGGTAAGTCAACTTTTCAATTTTCTTTCTGTATACAGTCTTCTTAACTACGAAAGATTAGAATGCACAACTACAAACAAATACATTCATTTGTTTTCTTTACTTTACTTTTCCAATATAACGTAACCAATGATTTTTGATAAAATTCTAAAATAGCGATAATACTCATTTCTAGTGGGAGGAAAATAGCAAATTTCTCGAAAGTGGAAATCAAATAGTCACTTTGGGTATTGTAATAAATTTCGTTGGTCTTTGAAAATATATAAAATGAATAATTCATTACGATTCCATAATCGCATTCAACGCCAACGTTGCTCATAATTTTTCTCTTGAGTTTCTTTGAAGTTGTTCTCAGTACTTAATAATGGAATAAATGAAAGTAGAATGAAATTTTAAAACTTTAAAACTTAATATTAATCATAAAATTATTTTATTATGTGAGACAACAAAAATTTAGGAGTCAGATAAATAATATTATATATAATAATAAAATTTCGAAATAATAAATGTCTTTTTTCTTCTATTTGTGTTTTTCGTTAGAAAATTCTTTCTGTTTCTCTTTTTAAAGTTGGAATGTAACAATTTGAGAATCCTAGCAGAGTTAAATTAATAACTATCAAAGTATCCGGCGCAAGTTATCAACCAATAATAGTTTATCAACCAATATAAGATCAAACTCTTGGCAAGAATCTCACGAAACTTCGCTGTTGTCCAAGTTAAATCAGAGCTCACCGTCCGGAATATTATTCCACGGAATCCAAGACCTATTGAACTATCTCAGATCCATTTCTCACGTACAGAAATCCAATGGCGTGCATCAATTCGTAGATCAATGTATCCTTCCTCGCCGTAGAACCTGATATTTTGAAGATGCACGTTCTGCCAGCCAACTATTCTTCCCACACTGATTTAGCAACCATAATTTATTTTTGCTGGTCATAGTCTCGATATAATCATCTTCCTCGTCGGCAGCATTCGAATTTAATGCACGTGTATTTGTGGTAAACGTTCATTACCTCGTAAATCAATCTTCGTTACGCGACATTTGCAAGTGGGGCTCGTGACTCGTTAGAAAAGAATTTTCCATTAATCCATCGTGAGAATGTTGTACCCAATTAATTAGTTTTCCATTAATCCGTCGTGAGAATATTGTACTCAATTAATTAGTTGTGTTCATTGATAAATGGTGATTCATGGGGTTGCCGAAGGATTGGCAAACATCGAAGATCATTGAGTTAGTAAAGTAACTTCTTGTTTGTTTTTGGAATGTTCATGAGGAACCGATTGTATGATTAATTTTTTTATAAACATGAATTTTAATGTTATATTTAATTAATAAAATATAATATTAATAATATACTAATTTACATAGTATCAATCAATTTAAGTAGATAAATATTAATAAATAGGAAGATAAAAATGTTTGGACAAGGGAATCTTCATACAATAGGAAATTTATTCATTCTTGGCGCACAGATTCTCAAATTTTACGAATGAAATTTGATTAAAAGTATAATACTTCGGCTGCAAGGAAATAAGAAAATAAAGTGAAATACGTGAAATTAAAACAAAAAGATATGGAAGTTATAAAACTTAATCGTGCAGTTTTAAATTAATTTTAATATTTTTATTTAACGGTTTTAAAGACAACGAGAATATATAGCAATTATATTAACACGCAACATTGTAAGCAAATATTAAAGGTATTATATTTCGTGTGCAAAATGAATTCTATCAATATGTTCAATGATCCCAGAAACAAGAATTATATTTTCATTGGAAAATTCTACCTGTGCCAGAGATTCGAAATAATAAATTTTTCAAATTTCAAATCATCTTCAGAAAGAAGAAAAAAATAAAAAGTAGTGCATCTTACCTGGAACTGGACTTGTAAAGAAAAATTTACTTGTTTAATGAAAAATTTTCACGGCCCCATAATTTTTTTAATTACATCAACGAATACAGCAAACAACGAACCAGTGTTTACGGCCACAATTCTAATTAAAATATTACATAATTACAAATCTCATTAAAATATAAACTCTGTTACAACAGATGCTTATGCTAATACAAAGGAAAGAAACAATTGTCGAGTACTCAATTAACTTTCGTTCAACGATCATTACACAATCGACTGCATCGCAAAGCACAAACTCAATATTTCAAATATATATAAAAAAAAAAACTGGCACTAAACAAGGATTATACTTTTAGCAATGTGTAATAAAACTGCGGATCTTTGTACAATTTTTTATTTTCGTAAACAAACGATCGAAAGTAATCGAAGCTGAACGTAATGTTCATTTCACCTAGTAAACATTATAGCTGTATTAAGCTGTACTAAATTATGACTATGTAAATTATTTATACTCCACACTAGATATTTTTAATAATTCTCGTATATCATATACAGTAACAGACAGAAGAAAGTTTGAAATTTGTAATTACCCAAATGATATATTTTACATTATATATTATTTTTTATATTATATTATATTAATTATATTAATTTATTTTATATTATATTAATTAAAATTGTTTTATTTTTTAATGCATATTACATATACTCATTGGTCTTTTATATTAAATATAAAATTACGGATCCTTTGGCTTTTATGATATTCCTTTGTCCGTAGTTAAATTTCTCATAAATGCACAAATATCCGCAGTTTAATAATAAATATCATGTTCACGATTTTGCGTAGCCTGTGTTTATGTTCTCACAATTTGCAGTTTGGCTAGAATAACGTAAAAAGCTGATAACATAAGAAGTCACACCATGTACCGAGATTCGTTTTGCAAGCACTCCTTTCATTTCCCAGTGGAAATAGGATGTCACTGTCTGCGTAAGATTTCAGTTCTTCCGGCTATGTTTTCACGTCATTCTGCTGCTCTTTTTGCAATCCGTTCGTCTGGAAAACCATGTAATTATTCTTTGAGATGCCGGAGGCGAGATATTATATTATCAAATTTGCCAATTTTCTCGTGTCAGTTTACTCATATATTGATCCCACAGGACATCGAAATGAAGATAAATACAAATAGAAAAAACGCATTTGCAACTGATCTTTATGAAAAATTTAAAAAGAACTAAAAATAAGTTACCTTTTATGAATTTTCATACGGATAAATGAACGGAAATTTATGTATGAATTTATAAATTCGAATTTATAAATATACTTACTAAATCAAGTATTTAGAAATGAAAATTTTTATAAAATTAATAATATTTGTTGAATGACTTGACGTGAAGTATATACTGAAAGAGATATACGGAAGAAACGGCTTACCTTGAAATGAAAAAATGTTTCTTAATAATGTTCAAAGGTGGGTGTGACTAATGTCTCGTAATATAATGTGACTAATGCGAAATAGTAATTTCGTGTGTAAAACTAATCAGGGACGCTCGAGATAAGAAACTTTTGATTTCAAATGACGATAAAATCTTCACTAATATTTAGTTTATTGCTTCTTAGACAAAAAATTATCTGTGCGTTAAATAAATAAAATTTCACTAATTGATTTTCAATAATATCATCACAAACAAATGCATAGAGTAACATGGTGTCTGGATATTAATAAAAGTCACGATATTCAGAAGCATGATTTATTCTTAGAGGATTCTCATAACAAATAGCTAATGAAGTTATTATAATCCGGCATGGAATTGTCGAGTTCATCGAAATATGCCAAGTACGTCGATGTTACCGTGAAAAAACACTATTTACACAAACGCTTAAAATTTAAAATTAAGATTCCGTTAACGTTCTTGCAAATCTTGAAAAACAAACATTTATTTCAACATCTTAATCTTGCAAAATGCCTGATTATAAATAGCACAATCAGTGATATATCAACAGCCGCTACTCACTTCTCCAAATAGCAATTCGTTAAATAGAGATGAAGTACTTCAAATAAAAATTTTCATTTATCTTCTAACGTAAATACATCCCAATGATATCTCTTTATCTCATTAAATATTAATGAAAAGAATCAATTTCATTGTAATTTGCAAATGTTTAAAAATGTTTTTCATAAGTACAAATAAATTATTACAGTTTTACTTTTACTTTCGGCAAACAGAAGATATCCTCGATATTTTAAGAAAATTTGTGGTACGAAATTGAAACGAAAAATGTTAAGGATAACACGTTTCATTTACTCTTTAATATCACGTGACTCGTATTGAAAAAAATTTACAGTAAGAATAATGAATGAATAATGATAATGAACAAATCATTTAAATTATTAAGGGAATTCGTGTAAATGTGACATTGGTGGCGCCTGCAAGCTGCGATGCGATGGCTACTTTTGCTGGCATTTCATTTATATATCTTTCGGATATTCTCTCTCACTGAATTTATCTCTGTGACCCAGTTCGCGTTTAGTCTTACCCTAGAATATTTTGCCAATGCTGGAAGGCCAGCAGGACAACAAGAACGTGGAAACATTGGAGACACACATGCATACAATTTCACATCTTATCACGTTTATGCATTTTTTTCTTTTTTCCCATTCTCGTTTCCATATCCTTTTAAATAGTATGCAAAATAATTCAGAACGTACGAGTACATGTATAATTTATATCGACATGTATGTGCAGACATACGAATATATGTGTACATAGTTTTGTTTAAAACATTATGTATAATCAATATTATTCAGCATAATTGAGAAATATTTAATTAATTTGATATATTTTATGGAGAGGAAATAAAAGGTGTACCTATGTTAAAAAGCAATGTATTTTGCAATTTTAACTTTATTATTTTAATTAAAATCTAGCTTACATTTAGTTGTGATAATCGAAAGAAAGACGAGTATTTAAAACGTTCATTTATTTATCATACATTCAATATTACAATATTACACAGGCAAACATTTATTTACTGTTGCTCATAAATACAAATATTTTCTTATACACACACACACAAACACACATATAGATAAAAAAGCTCTTTTCCGAATACACAATGCTTCGTCGATAGCGATTTACTTTCTACTTTCTGTTTTTATCAACCTTGGTCAAACCAAAGCTGAATCGTCGTTTAAAAGCAACGAAATATATACTTCATTGTAAAGGACTAGATTCTCTTTACGCTTACGGTTCGATAAAAACCCCCGCGAAAAAGCTTCAAGGCTTGATCGACCACATTTCTGGCAATCAATAGCTGCTCCGTCTGCGTTTGTTGCATTTGTACATTTTTCGGATCTTCTGTATGTCCCTCTTGCTGAATCCCTCTCTCTGACCCAGTTGAACCTTCGTCACACTCTGAAATATTTCGCCAATAAAACTTATTGTTAGAAGGCCTACGGATATCCACGGGATATGCAAAATCGTGGGCGTATATGTGAATTTCATGACGTTATTATTTTTTTCTGCAATTACACCAAAAGCATAAAAGGAAAGGATGTACAGTTTCTTTACGAGATAACTCTTCTCTTGGTCAATGAAAAACGTTAGCAATTAAGAAGACTGAATATTATAGTCGCTACAAATGTTTGAAAGCGCCAGGGCAGAAATTACAGGAACATGTAATGTTACAAAAAAAAACAAGGAATTCATAGTAAAAATAATTTATCAACAAATTTCACTTACTAAGATCTTCCAGTTTAATTAATGAAACGTATGAAATTCCCATTCGTGTATCTGTTTTTCCAAGGTTTTTACAAACTCATAAATGTCAAGATCAGAGTTACAAGATCTTTAAAACAGGTCATCATCTTGGTCGCAAACGTGTAATATGATATCGAAATGAATCAAGATGTTATTACAAGCTTTCCAAAAATCACAGACTCATTTAAAGTTGGAAAGTTATGGACCTTGATGATTTCGGTTACTCACTTTTGGCATTATGGTGGGACGTCCGTTCTTGGAAAACGCGTTTGCGGAGTAATGCATTACGCTGCCATAATCATATCCGACCCCGAACGCGTCGGTGGTTTCCCTCGAAGCCTTCTCAAAATTTCCAACATGGTCTATATAGATAATGACACATTACTTGTTATTTATCAGTGTACTTTGTCAATGAGTTCAAAGAAAAAAATTTGTAACCAGCTCATTCGAGATATGTTATTGAATTTGTTATTACTTAAACTGGTAAATAATTTAAATTGATATTTAAACTGGCATTACGATGGTGTATGAAATAATAAAAGAAGATCAAAGTGAAGAAGTACAAGATTTAAATAAATTAAAAATTTCAATTAATCGGCAACAAAGGGGATCATGCTTGGAAGCATTTTGTCAATTTCTATAAATTAAAACTTGTTCTAAGTCTTCATATTCCTCTAATACATTTCATACAATCCTACAATTTTCTACATAATAAAATAATACCAATTATTTATTCAACATAGTTTGTGATTCTTGAATGAAAAGTAAAAAATAGAAAATGCACGATCTGTTTCCAGTATATATCAATCATGACTGCAACTTAAAACTTCTCTGTGCCAACCACAGGTCACTTACTGTTCAAAATGTTATACCACTGGATCGTGACGTACTCGTCTCTCTCAAATCTGCTTTGCTCGTGCAGGAATCCAATGGCGTGCATCAATTCGTGTATCACCGTACCTTTCTTCACTAAACACCCTGGAACCTGAAGATTCACATCTTGTCGACCACCAACTCTTCCCACGCTGCTCCAACAACCGCTATTACCAGCCGTGAGTCTGATGTAATCATTCTCCTCGCCGGTATACGGTTTGAATTTAACGCACGTGTACTTGTGGTAATCGTTCATCGCTTCGTAAATCAAGTTCTTCTGCTCCGTATCTATTATATAATTAAATTTAATCATCAAAATGTTGTCACTTTCTTCACTCAGTTTGACGAAATACTGCAGTAAAAAGTATTATAAATTGTTATACTTGTTCTTTCCCACTATTGAATTCGCATTATTCCTCACGAAATTTATTTCATTATTAACAAAAAATCTAACAAAATGTTGTTTCATTCGTTGTAATAAACCATAGACTATCCTGTCATCATTTGCCACTAACATAAATCAAGAAACAAACAAGTATACAGTACACTTACTGAAATAAGGACTGATCATATATGGTACTACACCGCCGGGCCATCGCGCAGCTTCTGCTTTCAAGCCATTCTTCTCGAGTTGAGGCGGAAACAGGATATCACCCTCCGCGTAGTTGCCCAATTCTTCCGGGTTGCGGTCCCAGCCCTCGTGCCAGTTCGCCACAACGGCACCGGTTTCATTGTCCGGATTGCGATACAGCATCTCGCCAAAGTGTTGCAGATGAGCGATCACACCGTCAGGACTGTCAACCGCATTATCTAGAACGTCTCGACGCCAAAACGGCCAAGCTGAGACGGAAGTCAGTAATGCAAATGTGAAAGAACAGAGGATGGAGCAACGTTTCATTTCGACAGGTGAATTCCCTTGGGGAAAAGACACACTTGAATGGGCCCTCGCTGCTGTTCGAATCGATTCCACTGACGAAAATCGGCCGGTTCTTCGTGACTTTATATACCCACCTGAGGAACCCCACTCGTGGATCTGCTCGATGCTTCCGCTCGATACGGAAACGATCGGGGACGTTTGCTGATAACCGTGGACTTTGGGTAACAGGAAGTCGAGATTTGCTGGCGCGGTTCCTCGAAGGCTTCCACTACAACGTACACATGTTACTTTATGTAGAGGATGATGATCCATGGGAAAGTAATAGGAGTGATATTGTGAGTAATGCTGATGAAGTAACAAATAATATTTAGCGACTCATAAACCGATTTTACAATCGATCGTATAAGTATCGTAAAAAAGTCATTAGGTGGTAAAATTAGTTGAGTTGTTTACGAAGATTGTTACCAAGTTCTCAATAAGAGTGAATAAGTACAAAACACGCTTGATTTGAAATGAAAATAAAAAGTACTAATAAATCAGTTTAGTCCGTTTTATTATAATTTAGATTATTATATTTTACTATAATTTATAATATAGAGAAGGTATATATAAAATATATAATTGTCATGTGATTCGATTGACTCTTCTAAATTAAATTAATCAATGATTTGAAATTCAGAGAACAAATACAAAATATAAAAGAATAAACAATCACAGAAGTATATAAATTCAAACTATGAAACAAAGTTGTTTGTTGCCATTAAAAAAAAAACCCATATTGATCAAATTCATAAATTGGAAAGCACAAAAAGTTATATATACCGCTTTATAAATTTATCTTGGAATTATCATTACTTGTCCTTTCTTTTTTGTTAAGATGAATAATTGAATTAAATATTAATCCTACGCTTATATAATGAAATTAAGAAATTAATAAAAAATGAAGTCGGTTTAAATCATTTTAATCAACAAAACAAACTATACACCAATTGACAAATCCCTTTCTAAATGACATGAGCGATTCAATCCACTGGGAATATATAAGATCAGAAATGCTTATTTGCAAATGCGGAAGGAAAGCCGTGACTGAATTCTGGTTGGCATTGTCACTTGAAGTGGTAAGATATTATTTACATGCTGTTCTGAACGGTCTTTCACACCGAAATTAACATCCTCCTTCGCATTTTTTTCAAATGCAAATGTTGCTAGACAGATCCTTCCTATCATCGCTACTTGATATTTCCTACGAACCTTGCCAGTTTCTCCGCAACGATGACTATAAACTTCGAAGGTCAGTAATATAACATCTTTCTTCGTATATACCATGCTATCCATTATGGGTATTACGATACTTCTTTTTCCTTTTGCTACGAACATTATGTCAAAGTCATCACGTATAATGATAGTCGTGTCTGTTAATTCTTTTTCATTGAAATCGCTATAGCTATCAAAGGCATCTTAAACGTGTCAATGAATCATAAGCGTGATCAAATATTTATCTGCTTCCAGAACGGTCAAAATCTTCATGAATATTACACAATTATTATTTCGTAAAACGATGTTTTCGTTCCTTCTTGTCACATACAAAAGTTTGCGGCGTTTTGATAAAAATTTAAATAATTAGTTTCCCAGTTCTAAGTCCGGTTATTGCTCTCCTATGATAAGGGGAATTGTATCAAGGTGAAAAAAACATTTAAAACCGGTTCAATATGTACGAACGTATTTGTTCAAGTCATGTCATAAGATAAATTTCTACACAATAGCCTTTTCCCTATTTTACTTACAAGATAATTGCAATCCTAAACTTCCATGCGATAAGTTGCATTTATTAGAAGCATTTACATATAGGTCAACAATTTCAAAATTCAAGAACGATTACTGAAGGAAGCAGCGATAAAATAAAGTTTCTATGATTTAATGAAAAGAATTTTTGATAAGTTGATTAATCCTGTATAATGTATTAACGTAATTAGGAATAAAAATTAGACTTTCTTAATTTTTTAAAAAATATCTTTTTTAAATAAGCTACTTGAGAATAAGCCAATCATATAATAATTTTTTTTCTCTCAAAAATTTTTTCCAAAGATTTAATTTGTAAAATAATATAAAATATTACTATTATTATTTACAGTAGATAATATAAATGTCACTATTATTATTTACAGTAGATTAAGAAAGTATCTACTGTCGTACCATAAACGAGATATATATATATATATATTTATTTATTTATTTATTTATTTATTTATTTATATATGCACTAAAGGATGGTAAATATATATATATTACTAAAGGATGGTTTATTTAATACAAAAAAGAACAATTGTCCGGTTTATCCTAGTTAGTCAACGATTAAATCTATTTACATACATTATCACATCATATTGTTTTTTGCCATTGTTACTTTTAAATTGCCTACGTACATACATAGATGTCGTTCTAATCAAATGCACGCTTTCAAACTGAACCCCGGCAAGTAACCTTAAAACGACACAAGTGATAGTAATTCTACATTCACTCGTAGAAATTCGACTGATATTTATTAATAATGACGCTCGATAATTCATGGCATGTGATCAAAACTGCTGCTGCAGAAAATAAGCACGAATTAGTGTTGTCTGGCCCATCAATTTCTGAATTGATTCAAAAAAGAGGTATTGATAAGTCTTTGTTTAACCTGCAGCACTTGAATTACTTGAATATTACGCAGACATGTTTGCAAGAAATATCAGAAGAAATAGGACAATTACAAAATTTGACGACACTGGTATTGCATTCGAACGAAATTTCGAAAATACCTGGTACAATCGAGAAATTGGAAAAACTAAAGATCCTCGATTGCTCTAGAAACATATTAACGTCTTTACCAGATGAAATCGGTAATCTTCCACAGTTAACAACTATGAATTTGAATTCAAATCTTCTGACATCCTTACCGACGCAAATTAAAAATGTTAAGTTGACTGTTCTGGATCTTTCAAACAACCAGTTTGAAGTTTTTCCTGACGTATGTTATTCAGAATTGACTCATCTCACTGAAATCTATGTTAATGGAAATCTAATAAAAGAAATTCCTGTGACTATAAATCAACTTCCATCCTTAAAAATAGTAAATGTTGCAAGCAATCTGATTTCAGGTAATCCTTCTTTGAGTAAAAAAAAGAAATCTTATACTAGAATATTGATTTAATTATTATTTTTATCGCCACAGTCATCCCAGGTGAGATAGCTGATTGTAACAAGCTTAAAGAACTTGATTTAAAGGGAAACCCATTGATCGACAAAAGATTATCAAAGTTAGTCGACCAGTGCCATAGTAAACAGGTATTAGAATATATCAAGTTACATTGTCGTAAACAAGATGGTTCTATCAATACCAAATCAAAAAAAGGAAAGAAAGTACAAAAATTATCAGAGAGTGAAAATAATGCTAATATAATGGATGATTTGACACACACGTTGAAAGTATTAAAAGTAACAAATGACACGCCAGTAATTAAAATTACAAAATATGTAAAAAATATCAGACCATATATTGCAGCTTGTATTGTTAGAAATATGAGTTTTACAGAGGATACTTTCAAAAAATTTATTCAACTTCAAACTAAATTACACGATGGTATATGTGAAAAAAGAAATGCAGCTACTATTGCTACACATGACTTAAAATTAATTACTCCTGGTAAATATAACAGAAAAACAATTTTGTATATATAAAACTACATTCTGATAATATCATATTTAATGTTTATAGGGGACTTAACATACACAGCGAAACTACCAAATGAATTAGAAATAAAACCGTTAATGCGTAATAAAGTTTATACTGGTTCTGCATTGTTTCAACAATTACAAACTGAAGCTGATAATTTAAGAAAAGAAAAGAAACGCAACGTATATTCTGGTATTCACAAATATCTGTATCTGTTAGAAGGTAAACCTATGTTTCCTTGTTTATTAGATGCTTCAGAACAAGTTATATCATTCCCACCAATAACAAACAGTGATATTACAAAAATGTCAATGAATACTCAAGCAATGCTAATAGAAGTAACTAGTGCTGCGTCATATCAGATTTGCAGGTAACATAATTTATTAATAACAATTAATATTTGCTTTTCATCTTAATTAGTTCTATTAGATAAAAAGCAAATCTATTAATACAAAATTTAAATATTATATGAGCATAATTACATTATAACATAATTTTCTTTTTGTTGTTAGAAATATATTAGACCAATTCTTAAAAGAAATAATTACCCTTGGTTTGGGATGTCTGTCAGAACAAGAAAATGCTTCGACTTATAATAAATTAGTTGTAGAACAAGTAAAGGTAGTAGATATGGAAGGTAATATGAAATTACTGTATCCTTCAAGAGTAGATTTAAATTTTGCAGAAAATTTCATAACTGTATTACGTGAGATATAAATTATTGTGAACAGTTTAATCATTCCTTAATTTTGGTCTAATCTGTGTTTTGTCTGTGTGTTTTTTTGTATTTTTTCTGTATTAATATTATAAATTGTTCATTTCATACTATATGATAACATTAAGATTAGTAACTGAAGTATGCAACGAACATAACATTTGCATATTTTATACAGAACTGTTTTGCTATATACCAATATACAACAATATTGTAGTCAATATTTTTATACTGAAATTTGAGACTATGTGATAATAATAACAATAAATGTTCAATATTATAAAACTCAGAAATCGAGAAATAAACATAAAAAAAATATAGCATTCATATTTCAACATTTTATTCCTTCAAAAATTTATTGTATTGATTTACACAATACATTATGAAAACATAACATGAATAAAAATATAAGCTTTAAAACATAATCGAAAATATTAATTTACATATTAAAAGTATTATACTCGCGTTTTCAGACTAAAATATTCGTAACTACTATTAGCTTTTACAAGAAAATTGAAGTGTGAAAATCACAGTCATCATTCATTACTATATATCGTATAATCTGAAGTTTAATCTATACTTTTATATAGGATATTTAAAATTAACTTGAACAGGATACGATGGTTAGCCGCAAATTCAAAAGCGGATAAAAACCCGCCATTTTACAGGCAGCTGACGACATTGGCGCTGTCGTGTCGCGAATCATCCCATAGTAAGCCGGTGAAGAATTCTCATCTGTTTTTATAAATATTGTACTTTGTTTCGTGTATTTCAATGCAGTGTAAACTATAAACATTGCCCAAGTGAGACGTTTTTGTTCATATTATTAAGCGTAGTTGGTGAAAGTTTCATTTCAGAGTATTTAACGACAAGAAGAAATTCGCTCGAATTTTCTGAACTTTCCAACATGCGCGAATGTTTGAAGTGTTAACATGGCGCCGAAACATGACTGGGCATGATGGGGGAATGAGAACGAAATTTTTGAGGTTAGTTGATCATTTTGTCATTTAAGTAATGTCGTATATTGTAAATTTGTAGTACAATTAGCCGCATTAACTTATTGGACATCATAATAGAGACGTATATTGCAGATATTTTTTAGAATTTTGTTATTATTGAAGAAAACACGTGTCACATTGTATAATTTATCTGTTGTTTCTATAATGATTTAGCAGAACGTATTGATAGTAATAATAGCTACGTTATAAATATCACGTTGAACAAATGATATTTATACATATATATTTATATATATATGTATGTGTGTGTATGTTGATATTGTATTGATTTATTTTTTTTATAAATTTTTCCGTAGAAGTAGTAAATTACATATATTGATGTAATATTTTAGACATTTCTATGTTACTTTTTATTTGACCTTTAACTATCGCTTTCATATAAATTTTTTAACGTGATTAATAATCATTTACTTTTTTACGAAAACTTGGTAAATCTTTACAATAAATAAAAATCTTTGTAACAACAGATAAATTAACACATATGATGAAAAAATACGTTTATATATGTAATTATAAATATCTAATGATAATTAATTTTAATATATGTTAAACTGATATGATTTGTGCTATATCCTTTATTCATATATAATATTGATATGATGTGCTTATAATATTTTGTATTAATAATTATGGTACAATAAAGATAATGTTAATATTACATAAGAGACAAAAATATTTATTAAATATTTTCTTTGAATTATATACATTTTTTGCTTCATTTATACATTACAGACACATAATGCTTAATGAACTATGAAGTACAAGAAAAATGTAACACTACAATATACAATATACATATAAAATTATAATATATTAAATATATTTTTAATAGATTACATTAAAATATTTAAAAACCAATATTTAGTATATTTATAGATATACTAATGCTATTCTAAAAAAACAACTTTTCAAAAGATCATTGAATTTTATGCATCACACAAAAATATATTTATTAAATAGAAAAATATAATGAGATCTATTGTACTGATATTTGTTTAAATATCTTAGACTTTTAACTATTCTGGAATATAACATATAATATTTATAATATGCTTGTTATTATTAAAATAGAAATTCAATAATGACTAGCATCATATATCTACTTTATGTTAAAATAATTTGATTTTTAACTTCAAATGTGATACATTTAATTAGATCAACTGACACAAATATAATTGTATATAAGTTAGGAAGATCATTCAATCACATTTATTTTGATTAAATATTTAATAAACTTAATTTACTTTTAAACGCTCTTGTCTTTCCTTGAGATCAATAATGCTTAAATTAATGCAGGATACATATCCATGTAACAATGAGATACCAGCTTTGATAAATGCTATAGGTGCAGAAAGATACATTACCAACTTAAATAAACTTATACCAAGAACTGAAATAAGAATACAAATTATACAATATTCATCATCACATCCAATATTAGTAAAATATATATATATATAAGAAATAATAACTTACAAGTAGGTCCTTGGGTAAAGTAAAGAAGATATAATGCAGCATAAAAGGCTTCATTACCAGCACACATAATAAATAAGACTGTACGATTAGTATAATACATTCTCATAATTGAATTTTCAGACATATCAATAAATTTGTGACTTGTCTTCCCTTGCAAAAGTGATCTATAATATGTTTTCTTATATTTTTGTATGGTGACAATATTAAATACATCTGAATAAAGTTTGTTCTTACGTGTGCAAGTATATCCAATGGCAACTAATGTCAATGGCCATGCTTAATTGAAACCAGAATGAATATGATGGATAAAACATACACAATGTAGCTAAAAGACACATGGTACCAATACGATCAGTCAACTGATCTAACATACCACCAAATTTGGTACTTTGGTTAAAATATCTTGCTGCATGACCATCCACTGCATCTAATAGTGCACTAATAATGTAACACCATGATGCAATAACATGGTTAGTTGTCATAAAATAAAAAGATATAATAGCCAAAATCACTCTGCCATAGCCTGTTAATATATATATATACATATTTATTATTATTTATTATTATTATTATCATTAATTATATCATCTTTATATCTTTTTTAATTTATTATAGTTTTAATAATGTTAATATATTTATAACATATATCCTTGTCTTAGCAACTGAATAACTTTTATTTTTATTTCAAATATAGTGAATAGTTACATAAAACCAGTCTTTAAATCACTATAGATCAATATAGGAAGTCTTAAAAGTGCAATGCTTTTAGTCTTTTTTGTATTATATTCTCTATAGCCAATAAACTTTATATTTTTTAACACATAAAATATAAAAAGAAAAATAATATTTAATCATTATAAAAACCAGTTATATATCAGAAGTGATAAATTCATGTAAATATGTATTGTATCAATCTGTTCGTTAATATAACAAATTTAAGATTATAAAACATGTGTTGCAATAAAAGAAAATCGTCCAAGATAAATATTTTTAAGATAGTATTTTACTTATCAAAATAATTTTTTTAAAGATAAAAATAATTCTCTTTTTCTCAATTTCCAATCTTTACCATTTTTTTTTTTTTTTCCATATTAAGAAATGCATTACACAAGCAACATTGCTAACTACTTGATAACATAAAGTATAAATAAATTTTTTTGTAATTATTTTAGTTTTAAAAAGTATTCACATAATATTTTTGTGTATAAAAAATTGAAAATTAGATTCAAATTGTCATAAGAATGTTAGAATTAAAATTCTATTTACCAATAATGTTGGGCACAAACAAGAAAATATTCTCAGATTCCGTCATTTTGCCGCTTCTAATTATTCCACTAGTAATAGAACTCGTTATCTGTAACTGAATGTAAAAATTTGTCTGACATACACGCTCGTTTATGTTAAATACAACGTTTCTTACGTTTAAATTATAAATTTTACAATTAACCACACTTGTACATACCGTCTGTATTACTGTAGAATGGAAAATAAGGAGTTATAACGTCAATGGATTACTAGAATCGACAGTCGTATTCGAGATTCGAGATATATCGATCCTTGATGACGCACATATAGCAGTCACACAAGTACAATAGTGTTGTACCTATTAATGTTTTCACCCGTATTTATTTGCTATATATGACGTTATAAATAAAAAAGGACACAATTTTTATAAAATACATTTCTTATTTAACTATATAACATTGAGAGCGAGAAATATTATATTTTTGTTTTAATTTTCTTTGTTGTAATTAAATTAAAAGCATCCGAATAAATTTGAACGACAATGTGATATATTATTTTCTAAAATAATAACGATTTGTTTTAGATGATTCACTTCAAATTTTTTCAATGAAGACTATTTTAAATACGTAAAAAAAAAAAATCGTAGTTGTGAAAAAGATGTCTTGACACGTAGTTACGCTCCTGAAGCCAGACGACATTTTCGGAGGCTAAACGGCTGGTCCGCCGTTTCTCTGCGCAAAAGCAATCGTTTATTGTGTCGCGAGAAAACTGTCGGTACAGTTTTACGTCAGTTTTCCTTAACTTTTCCCCCTGATGTGATTAACTAAGAATAATATTGATTGAACAATAGTGAAGCTAAGTGAAATGTTTTAGTAGTAAAACTGATTAACCGTAAGGTTGGATTTCAGATGTCGTGCAATGAAGTTTCGGGTGGACTACTTTCCATTTACTAGAATACAATTAATGTTGTATTTTAAAATAAGTCTCGTTAGTGAGATTGTCTCGGTTACTTCAAAATCGTAAGTTCTTGATGAAAGATATTTCTCGTGTCGTTTTAGTGCCATTGTCGGGAAAGTGCACAAGCCAGAAGTAACATTATGCGATCGATAATTCGCCGACGATTTTGGAATACGCTTCAATGATCCGATCAGGTACTTGTGACTTCGTGTGACGTTTCTTAGTTGTCAGTGAAATGTTTCAAAAGTGATTTTTAGTGTCTTCCAAGGCTTAAACACGACGAAGTAATAGCAAGAACAAACTATATACTTGTTTGATATATGTACAAGCAATGCCAGAAACAGTGTCGTCGTTTTGGACAAATACGTTTTCGCGTCTTCCATACATACGCTGTTGCAACAACGTTGCCAATAACATTGCATTTCGTATAAAGAAAATTTTGCAAGCAACATATACGTGAGAAAAAAAAAATGTGCATTTCAATATCAGTTAGCGGCCATTTTGAATTTATGAGTACCCCGAACTACGACGATTAACAACCACGATTTGTAATTCCAAAATTGGACCTTCTTCGACGCATTTCGATACAATCAATTGTAAAGGCATAAAGAGCTACTTTGACATGTCATTCGAAGATAGTTACTATTTTCTGCACACCAAATGAAATTTCACTAGATGCTACAGAAAGCATTCCATTCATTTTCTATTTTACATTCTAATGTACACATCTGCTGTTATAATTCTGGCATGAATCGAATAATTTAAATGTCTAAAATTTAGTTGCTATAAAAGAAAAACGCAATTGCAGTTTTGTATGTTTTACGTTTTATTTCTTGTGGAAAAGCAACAAATAATTTCAGATGAACATATCAATAATAAAATGACGTGGAAGAATAGATCTTTCCATCGTTTTTTGCGTCTTTGATAAATGATTTGAACGCAAAATAAATATTTAATCACCAGTTCATACAGCAAACATCGTACGTGTTTCAATTTGTTGAAGTATATACTGTATATTGTGCCAGTCGACAACTGTAGTTGAGGCTGACAAGTAGATCTAAAATAACCTCAACAACGATAAAATTGTTGATATTAATCTGCGAGGAGTTACACTTTTCATACTCATTGTGAACATAAACAGAAAATACTATATGAATTAATTGAAAATATACGGGAAGCAGTAAAAGAAAAATTTAAAAACAACAGTTCTCTAATTGATCGACAGTCACGGCATTAGATGGTGGACGGTGCCATTTTTGTCAATTTTCTAACGCGCATGGTACGCGCGTAAAACCGAGTACATTGAAAAAATCATCAATTGAATCTTATAATTTGAACACGGATAATCATTGTTGTTTATGCGTGTACTGTTCCTGAGTTTAATTAATAAATGTGTTGAATTTCGAATGGTCAAATCGATTAGGATTAACCTAACGTGACATCGGTATATTGCAAAATGCCTTCATTTACATGGACGTGATGTTTTCATAAATTAAATAAACAAAACCAAGAAAAAAAAACAATTAACCTGATATGATATGCGAAAATTTCGAATTGTTGTCTGTGATCAAATAAAACAGGTCTGTAGACCTTAAGAACACCAAAGAAAAATGATGAAACTATGAGTACAACGGATACAACGCTGTCAATTTCGATCAAGATGGCCCCAGGGCCAGAACATCGTCAAGAACCGGTAGCACCTGACAAAGCTTCTGAAAATAACAATAGTGAGACCTCTAATGAAAGAGATAATGTTGAGAATTTAGTGGTAGGTGTTGAGACTGTTAGTAACCAGAGTTCAAATGCAGAATGTGCTTCAACGAACACTGATACTAATTCAGATTCAACTCAAAGTGCACCGACTTGTGTTACCTCTGACAATAAGCAGGTGAGTTAAAAATACAAGGGTTTAGAAATTGTTTAAGATGTGTTAATGGAATAAGCAATACTATAAGGTCATTTTAATTATTTGTACTAGAAAAGAATATATGACGTACATGTGTCTTAAAATTTATTTTAATATCATTGAAAATTTCAATTTCTTTCAAAATTCATTCAAATGATATAATTAAAGCTTGATTTCCAATATTGTTTTATCTACAAATTATTATTAATAATAATAATTATATATATATCTCAAATTCATTGCACTAATTCAAAACTTATAATGATTACTATCTACAATAATAAATTTTTCTAAAATCAAATCTTACAATTACTATATAGTTATATTAATTTATTATTGTTAATTTAAAGTTTAATTGAAACTAATCAAATATGATATGATTAATTTATTTAAAAGTTATCAACCTATACTTTACATAAGTGTTTGTATTAAAATAACTGTAATTAATTATTTTAGTATAACATCATAAAACATACATGAATTTCACTAAATATATACCATATCTTAACGCAAGAAAATAACATGAAAAATATTTAAGATTATCCATGTATAAATGTCTACTATCAAATATATATTCTTAAAATATTAAGAGTATAACTTATATTATTGATTCTACTATCATATGTTATAATATATGATTAAATATTTATATTTCAAATATACATATTTGTTATAAAAAAAAAATTGCACCTAAGACTGTCAACGCAAATATAATAAAAAAAAGTAGTATATAATTGAGATCCTAGCACTAGTTTTCTGTACAATTTACTTTACAAAATGAAATATTATTTCAAAAATAAAAAATATATATATAGTTATATAGACATTTACAATACTGTTGTATATTTTCATAATCATTTACGTTATTAAGTTTCATTTATATAAATGTATATATTCGTATAATGTAAAAAATCTTATCTATATTGTATACTTTTTTTTTTTTTTTAAATTCATACAACTCCTTTTAAGTACACAATACACGATGTAGATTGATAAAGAATAAGGAAGGAATAGGGGCCCTCAGTTATTACGATCCTGGAATGGCCGTGTTCTCAGTGTAATGGCGGCGGCCATGGTGAGAAGAGCGCGCCGCGCCCGCTCGTCACAATAGCATTTAAAATCGGTACTGTATTTTTGATACTGCCGATAATATTTCTTGTGAGCAGTGATAGGATATCGTCAGCTACGTTTATCGTATACTCAAATGCGCAAAGTCTCTACGTAACGGTGGTATACTGCAGGACTGCCGTTCAACGGAGCAGAGACGACTGCAGCCGACCCAGGTGCCCTCTAAAAATATAAATTCCGTGCCGGCACTGCCCAGCAGATTTTTCCTTCGTCTGTAAGTCACCCCGGTATCTCGTGTCTCAATTAGCTAATCGCGACCCCCTATCGATCTCTGGACAAGCCCAAACTTCATTCCTGGTGTGTGTCCTATTTTAATTTACAACCGAAGGTAAACTCGCTATTGGCTATCCTTTTCGCATTTCCAAGGACTTACGAGTATTCATTAACAGTTTCCTGAATCTTCAAAGACGATTGGTTTGTATTGTTCGTACGAAACCATGTATTTTTTTTTTCTTTCCTCGAGGGATATTACTCAACACTGCGAAACGAACGATAACTTTCTTTTTTTCTTTCTTTCTGTTTTTTTTTCTCTTTTTTTTTCCTTCCTTTTTCGCAACGAATGATAAGAGTTTATTATTAACCTAGCTGCGAAAACGTATAAAGTATTTCATTGTGTGTTAAGACGATTCACGGTCAATTGGTTCGCAATGGTTTTGTTATCTTTATAAAAACGGCATATTTTGAAAACAATTTAATTTTGTTTTAACAAAAGTTTTTAGTAAAATTTTAGTAAAAATTTATTACTAAATATTTTATCTTTTCGGCAATACTTGTATACTGTTTCAAATTTTCAAAAACTAACTGTAGCCAATTTTTTTCTCTTTTTATTTTTTCTTTTTGTGGGCAGCCATTCTGATAAGATATTTCGCTTTGAATGAAGCTAGTTAGGTTATCACAGGGTAATGTTTGTCAAATTACTATGAAAAATAAATGACACATCATGCACCATTTCTTACAATATTTTCTTACTTTGTTTATAGCCTATAGGTGAAAAATATTCTGCTGATGATAATATTAATGCAGTGTTTTGTAAGTAAATCAAATAAAAGTCTATATAGACTTAATTTTTTTGCTGTTATATAAACAGTTGTGTATATTTTAGTATAATAATATTGTATATTATTCACACGTATTGGTTAGCATTTTAAAAATAATGAAAAAATATACATATATATTATACTTGGTAACAAAGATTTTAATCATCATACATTAACGATCCATACATTATAGAATTTAAAGAAAGAAATAAGAAACAAGGTATATGCAATTAACATGGTTGAAACAATATATGTACATAATATATGTAGATATGTAGTATTAATCATGACATTAGTGTACATCATTTATACTAATATACTTTTTTCTATGTGGTCTCTATATTTCTTCATAAAATCCAATAAGTGAAACCTTAAATTCATTCTCTGAATCTATCTATGTCTATACTTATCTATCTTGTGATCTAGTTTATGCTATGGTGTTCAATATAACACATAATAATATAAATACTGTAAAATAACATTTATTTTTTATACAGTATTTATTAATTGTAACAATAGAATTATAGAATTTTCATTTATAAATATTTAATTAAATGTACATTTATTTATTGCAAAATGTTATATATATTTTATAATTATTAGGTTTTAATGGAAAGCTAATAATAATGTATAAAATAAATAATGTAATAAAATAATCTGATACTCTGATATTTTGAATATTCTCTAGTTTCTTAATACATCTTTGGCTCTATTACTACTTATGGTTCACATTTAAAGTTTGGATTGAACTCTTGGCATACTTTCCATATTTGAATCTACATTGCCAAACATGTTTCTACACCATGTATAGGTTACAAACAAAGTGTTCTTAAACATTAGATAGTTTAGATTTTATAATATATGTATTTTAATTAAATTAGATATAAAACTTATTGATTTATATATCTATTTTTTAAAATTTAATATTATTTTCATATTATATAAAAAGAATCTATTTGCTCAAAAATTCATTCTAATTTATATAATTTATATAACAGTTCTTATTCAATATATATATTTGAATATATTTTGTATTTGCAACTGTATATCTTCTTGAAGATATAAAGATTTATAACTACACTTAATACGTTATTTATGAATTTTTTTATAAAGACATTTTTTCATTTAAATTGTATATATAAAATATAATAATGATTCATAATACACAACTAACTATTAAACTTTCCTTTTTATTGTAATTTTTAGGAAGAACCAGCTACTTTGTCTACATTAAATGAAGGTGAATTACGTGCACTGTTGGATGAAGCCATAACTTATAAGTGTCCCAAAGATCGCGAAGGAAAATCAAGTCTTTTTAAAGTAAGCATACTGATATTTCCATTTCTTTTATTATAATAATAATTTAATGATGTTCATTTTAGGAATTACTTCAAGAAGCAGAAGCTGATGAAACTGAAGAAGGTCGTAGAATAATAACTAATTCACGTTGCTTACCTGGTTCAAATCGTAGGAGACATAAACGAGACTCTGTATCTGAGAGATTGACACATGGAGGATCATTACAAAATTTAGCACAACCTATTGCTTCAGAATTTGATAGTAGTTTTGCTTATTTGACATCTGGCTCTAGCCATACTTACGGAGGAAGTAGAAGAAAAAATAAAAAATATACAGGACCTAGTGTATCTGCAAGACAAAGAGAAGGAGGTTCATTACCTTCAAATGTTAATGCACACAGTCTTGCTTCATTGGCTAATTTAGACTTATTATTTGATAAAAAGGTATGTATATATATATTCAATATATATATTGAAAAAATATATTGATAATTACAGTTGATACTTATTTATATATATTTTTTTCATTGATTTTATTTGAAATAATTACTTATATAAACAATGTAATACTTATATAAACAATGATATTTTTTTTAAAGAAGGGTTTCTGTGAGGAAAGGACAGTATATGACTGGACCAATAAAGAAAAATCCAAATCTTTAGACAAACCATCATATAATAACATTAAAAAGGAAGAAAAGGAAAAAGAGAAAAAGGATACGAAAAAGGATTTATGCGAAACTGAAGTCGAAGTGAAAAGAAGTAATAAAGGAAAATACGGGACAAATGAAATGCTTGAATCAGATAATCCACCACCAGAATATAAATCAGATTACATGGTGATTGATTTAGGTGATGCTGAGGTAAATTCATATTATTAATACAATAAATGATATATGTTACGTTTTATTTGTTTATATTTATCTATCCTTATTTAATTAACAATTTCAGGTGGGTACTATTAGTGAGAGGAATGTGGGATCCGCTATAAGTGGGGTTCAAAGACCTCACTCCTTAGATACAGAAGATGATGAAGGAATTGAAATGAAAATTATCGAACCGCATAGACCTCAATATATATCACGCACTCCTTTCGATATAGCTCAAACTCCTGTGGATACTACTATAGATTTCTCTCTCCGTGAACATAGCGGAAAACAAGATAAATCAAAAATATCTGTTAATGGTACAGAGGTAACTGGAGCCCTTTCTTTTCAAACTTTCAATAGCGTGAAATGTGGTATTAGTGGAACTCCAAATAGTTCAAGTACTAGTCAGGGTAAAGTAATACCAAGTTTATGCTCCATGATGTCTGCATCTTTACAAACACAAAATATTACAATGGGTAGGTGATATACCAAAATTATTAAATATTATTTATCATAAAGATATTATAACGATGAATAATTAAATAAATCTACATTGTAAAAGACATTTAAAAATATATTTTGTTTATGTAATGTTTGTTATTATAATGTTAAGGTTTATTGAAGCTTTTAATTAAAATATATAAATTTTGCACAGAAGGCTCGAGGTACACAGCGCATACTACCGGATCTGGAGAAAAGAAATCTTTGGACGAAAATGGAAATCCAGTACAAAGTTATAATGGAGAACGAAAAAAGCCTAGGAGAAAACATACTCAAGAACCTAATGTTATTGTATACAGTGCTGAAAATGTTGAAGGACATCGCAATGACAACGATATTGACAGTTTAATTAATTTTATTGAAAATAAAGAATCAAAAAGTAAAAAAGGGAAGCCAGGTAATCCAGTGAGAGTAAAAACTAATTCAGGTGCGAAACCAAGAAGCAGAGAAAAAGATACTAAAAGGGAACAGTTACCTGCCAAATTACAGAAGTCTAATTCTCTTGAGGAAATATCTAAGACTAAACTCGAAGACCTCACTACAGAAAAAAGCGTCAGTTCTAGTGGTGCCAGTAGTATATCGAGTCAACATGGTAAGCAGTGGTTATAAGAGTTTGTTATTCAAATATCATTACAAAAACATGAAAGTTCATGAAGATTGTTTATCGCTTAAACAGGTACGATCAATGTTGCGTTACGCCGTGCAAAACAAAGAAGTACTGGGGATACAGCTATTGACAGTCGCGGTGATAGAAGATCTTGGGGTACGGAAGAAGGTCAGTCTATATATTGCAATGATACTGGAGATGATTATGCTAGTCGTCGAAACTCCAATAAAAAAATCAATCCAGAACCTGAACATGAAACAGAATTCCTGGTAGTTACGAAAAAAAAGAAAAGTAAAAAACAGAGAAGAAGTTCCAGTGGAAGTAGAGCACAGAATTTAACAACGTCTGGATCTTATCTCCAAAATTCCAGAGGATTTCCTAATGAATATAGAACACCACTTTCTCCTGAACTTAGAAGAAAATCAGCAAGTAGTATGCCACCAAGGTAATTAACACAACTTTCTTTTTAATTTCTTTTACATAAATAAGTTTGGAAGATAGAATTTATTAGATTGTAGATTCATGGAAGATTTCATTAATTACATTAAAATAATTATTATTTACAGTGATAAATCAGATAGTAGTGATTCTGATTCTGTCCATTCATTGCCAGTTACATCAAACACGTCCAAACATAATTTATCAAAAATAGCTACCTCATCAGGCGGAACGCCGCAAGCAAGTTACGCGGACATTGCACGCATGGCAACTATTAATATGACTCATAATTCGGTATTAAATATGTCTACAATAGTTCCAAACATGCTAAATACATCTTCCTGGCCTAGTGTGCCACCTAAGACACCTTCAGAGCCAGATAAGATTCCTCAAGATTATTATCCTAGTTTAGACGAATTACAACACTCGGATAGGAAAACGAGGCAACATAACTTCACCCACTCGAATCATCTTTTGAATCTAAGTTTCGAAAAACCACCTTCACCGACTTTGACGAAAATGAAAAATTCAACGGAAAGAAAAAAGGCAGAGGCTCAAGAAGAAGCTATTAATAAAAATATTCAGGTTATTAAATATGTACAAGATATTGAAAAAATGCGTCAAAATTTAACACAAGAACAAAAACCTATGAGCCTTAATAATCACAGCACAACATCGAGCGAAACTTCAGTAACGAATGCAGTGCCATCAAAACTCACCAATACAGTAACAAATTGTAATCCTGATTCTGATAATAATTCTAATAGTAATAAAGATATGGTTATAAATGCAAGGTGTAACAATCCACGAGCACGCCGAGGAGGAGGAAGTTGCGCTCAAAATAATCAAAATGTACAAATTCAAGCATCGCACGAAGATCAACATTTTAAAAAAATTGGATACACTTTCCACGATGAAAATCCAAAAAAGGCACAAAATATTGAAAATTCTAATACGCACTGTGAAAATAAAAATAGTCCAGGAATTAGTTCAAATGATGAAGTTGAGTCACAAAAAACTAATATCGTAAATAATCCAAAATCAATGCAAGAAGTGCAAAATATTGATTTGGATGCTATAAAATTAACGAAAAATGAAAAATCAATAAAGGCTACTAAAGAACAGAATGTCAATGTTAAACATGAAACGGCTAAATCAGGGAATACATATTCTGTAAGTTCAAAACAAGAACAACAAGAAGATTCCGAATGTAAGAAACCGAAACAGCAAAATTCTACTTTAGATAAAGATCAAGTACAAAAAGTAGAATCACAAACATCAAATAAACAAAAAATTTCAAGGCCTGCAGTTATATTGTTAGATGAAACTTCATCAGATATTACAAAGAATAGTGAGTTACCTACGGAACTCAGGTTTGGATTTGAAATTAATGAACAACTTTTATTGTCAGAAGAATCAACAACTGAAGAGACCTCAAGTGTCAGTTCTGTGTTTCCTCCTGTAGTTCCACCGCTTATAAACAAACCACCTAGTTTTGACAGATACCCTCCGATATTTGACAAACACATGAGATGTGATAAATTTACGTCTAATTTCATGCAACCACCAAATACGCATGTAACTCAACAACCCCTGCATCCGGTAATGGTACAGCGATTACCGTGCATGAGTTATCCTCCAAGATTCCCTCCTCCCGCGTGTCTACCACCACCACCCACACCACCACCAGGAATAATGGAAAAATATCATCATCAACCTAAAGAAGATTTTTCTATGCTTTATGTAGCTCCTGAAGAAGATGTTAATATACAAACGTACAACCATGATAAAATCGTCTCATTTGTTGGCTTAGGTAAGTATTTTATGCTTTAAATGCTATACTTAATATTTCAACTTAGATTTTATATTATTTTAAATAATATTTTTTAAAATTATTTAAATATTATTTTTAATTATTTAAATATTATTTTTTTATTATATTCTATAGTCTTTGAAATATTATTCATCACTTGTATACTGAGGCTCGTAAAAACTTATAAAAAATGTCGATCAAAATAATTGTGTTTTAAATTGGTCTACAAAACTCGACAGCATACTTTTTATATATATATATAAAATAGTGCATCCTTTCATATATATATATATATATGTGAAAGGATGCACTATTCAGCCTCAAATAGTGTAGTATCTAAAAATTCAAAATTCTTTCATTTGTTTCTCTTTGTCAATATAGCATGGGACGCTGTTATGAGAGAAATGCCAGTAACTGCAGGTGGTCGTATACAGTTTTACAGTGGTCAGTGAAATGGGCACTAAGAAATATGGGGTAAATAATACAATAATGTTTTTGTACTGCAAAATTACCTCTATTGCAAGTTATTCGTTATAAAACTGTAAACAGCCAGAAGAGTCTGCTAACTAATGCAAGACCAAATATGTATCTAAATACAAGCAACTGATCGAATCTGTATCAAACAAGTTACAGTTACTTCCAGTTTCGATCATAAATAAAAACTGTACTAATTTTTGAGTCAAATCGTCAGTGATAATTCTGTAGAGCCAATTGGCGCAAAATGTGCCTCTAAAGTTAATGTACATAATAGTCAGTCACCAGAAAAAGACAAGGCTTATGAATCGTGTATGTTCTAACTGTACATACATTAATGAGTTACAAGATAACCTTTGAAAAGGTTGTAACACAATACTTAAGTTTCAGTATTGACATCTGATACCATATTTAACTGAAAATTATAAATTCGTGATGTGTATTTCGCTCTTTCAAACATAAACATCAAATTTTCTTGTAAAAAAATGTGGAAATTTATGTAGTCGTAAAATGTCTCGTATAAATTTCGAAAAAAAAGAGAAACAAAAACAAAATACCTTTCGGATCAATTACGAAAGTGTTACAATTTTGAAATAAAAATACAAAAACTATTTAAGAAGTGTAAAAATTAATTGGAACAAGATTACCGTGAAGCAGAATTTTCAAAAACTGCATGTGCTGTGACACAGCGGTTTATGCTGATGCCTTTAAGAAATAAAAAAAAAAAAAAAATACATCTTAGACCATTGTAATAAAGTTTAAAGATAGTTGAAAGCAACCCGTTATGTTAACTATACCAAATTAAGATCGTCCGTCAGAAATAATGCAAAATTTCTAATAATTATCTTAAATAATTGCGAGCAGAGACGATCTTCAAATAATACCTTAAAAACAGGGATTATTGCAGCCATCAGTGAATCTTCAAGAAAAACTTTAGAAAAGTTGAACATAAAAATAGTGGTTGCTAGATTACTTGTACTGTATTTAAGACGAACATTAAAAAAAAAAAAGTAAAGAAAGATATAAAGATGTGTGAAGTGTAATGAAAATGGTGAATGTAAGTGTGTCATTGAACACGTGTAAAATATTTAAAAAAAAGTAGTGTGATTGACTTACAACTTTATGGAGTGGTTACTTTTTCCAGCCGCAACAGATAATAGTTTAAGAAATTTAAAAGCAGGAAAAAAGAAAGAGAGAGAGAGAGCCATGAAAACTGATTTTTTGCAAATGTTGCGCTCAAGATCATAAACTGGATAAAGACAGTGAGAAAAGTGCGAATGTGTCGAAAAAAAAACAAAACAAAAAACGCTAAATTTTTACACAAACTCGCTTATTTAATGAATAATTATTAATTATTGGTAATAATAATTATAATAAAGTACTTGCTTGTGATCATAAAGTATGATGTGTGAATGCGTGTAGTGCATGTAAATACTCTACTAGCTAATATTCAGTTTAGTTTTGAATATTTGTGTTTAAAATTCTTTTAAAATTTTTCAAGATATTATGTTATTCTCTGAATATGGCAGAAAAGGAATAACTAGTACACTTTGTGGTTGTTATCAATCTACAGTAAAAAAAAAAAGCTTATTACGAGTAGTTAATCAAAAAGAGAGAAAGCGAGAGAGAGAGAGAAAGGGAGAGAGAGAGAAGAAAAATGAATTTAATATGATTCCTTTCACAACGATTCTATTCGTTATATAGGAAGCCTACCTCCAACATATTTTACTTTTTGATAGATAAACAAAATAGCGAAACATAATTTTCAATTTGAATGCAAGTCTCGCGTATTTGGAGCCAAAAAGATAAATAAATGATAAAGTATATGGAAACTTATCATTTTCGAAGATAACGACGAGAATAATAGATTATTACAGATAAGTTTCATATAAAAGAATGAAAGTGTATTTGCCTATTTAGATTATCACTATTTAGATTATTATTACATTATTATTACTATCATTACTATCATTATTATTATTATTATTATTATTATTATTATTATTATTATTATGATTATTATTATTATCATAATCATTAATCAGAAGCTAACCGTTATTAACAAATTAAGATTGGCGATTTTTGTTATTGTCTTTTTTCCCCCCTTAAAGTTACGTATGGAAATAGAAAATGTAAGCACTATGAATGTTTTTCATTTTGTTTGACAATATAACATAATGCAGCTGGGGGTACAGCTTTTAATTGAANGGACCATAAATTATCGTAGCAAAATGGCAGCTACGCCGCGAAACATTACGTTCAGAATACACGATTTAAACTAATTCTGTTATAATAAAAGAAAGAACGAAGAAAACACCAGGGAATGATGTATAAATATCACTGTGCAAGGCGATAATGTATTATATTATATTTCTTTGTTGAATTTGTAAGTATCAAATCAATAGTGATCGATAAAACTGGAGACACGTGTACAATCTTTTTGTTCTCATTTGTTTAAACGTTCTAACCATTAATGAAAAGAAAAAGAAAACATGCTTATATCGTTTGATAACAGGCTCATTGCATTTATTCATGAACTGATAGCCTGTACTATGACATAAATATGTCTTTTTTTTTTTTCTTTTCTGCAAATGGGTACAAAATCCTAATCGGACGTAATAGAGTTCCAGAAACAAGTGCATCATTCTTGCACATCGCGTTCTCAGTCTATATTGAATCAATGATATAGATTTGATTGAAGTGATGGAAGATGTAAAATTAATTCAAGGCAAAAAAAAAAAAAAAGGAAAAATCAAATAGTTGATGTTATTTCCCGTCTTAAATTATGTTCGTACGAACATCGCGTATGTATATCAAGTTCATTCTCGCGAAATCGTGCATAAAAGAAATTCTTCGATGATTTCATTTTGTAAGTTTGATTGCTTCGCCAAATTTCGACGGTACCGTCTATGTATTTCGCCAGAACTGTTTTTGCAGAACGAAAAACAATTATACGTATTTAGAAGTAACGCGATTACATCCTAATCACGACGAATAATTGAAACATTTTTGGAAATATTCCGATTCAATGGTTTTCTTCGTCGTGAACTTTGGACTTGCAAAATATGCGCTTCCGGTTGAAGGAAGTTTCCAGAAATGTTCACATATTCGTGGATTGTATTTGCTCGAGGAAGAAAAAGTTCATTATCGGCGCGGGCGTGTTAATAGTGTTCAAAAAAAGTAAAAAAAAAAAAAGAAAAAAAAGAAAAAAAGAAAGAGATAGAGGTTAATAGTTGAAAGCGAGTGGAGAGAGAGAAAGAGACAGAGTGAAAGAGAGAGAAGAAAGGTATCCGACGATCTCAGCGTTAGCCTTGTATCACTGTACAATTTGTTATTCAGTGTAAAGCAGTTTTTCTGTATTGTATATACATATATTAATAACTATTATTAATTATTATTAATGATTACGATGAAGCTATTCGATTAACTATTAATTGTACTTGCTGATTATCGATAACGGAGAAAACAGAAGCTATTGCGAGTGCTTATGCGTGTATAAAACGAATAAAAGAAAAAAAAAAAAAGAAAAAGATATTTTGCGTGTATGGTAAAGGCTGTGCTGCCCAGCTGGAACAAACAAAAAAAAAGAAAAAAAAAAGTGAAAGACTAATGAACATTGGAGAGAGGATGTTGTTGCCAACGTTTAGTATGTTGCCAAAGTTTTTCCCCTTTATGGGTATAAAAACAGTATAAAGTAATATTCGAGTTTCTTTATTTTTTTGTCACGTTTCTGTTCACGCGGTAGAATTGGCAAGATGTCAATTAAACAGTACTCGGTAAATAATAAATTGAAAAACCAATTATCAGCTATATGATTTATGGCGATTCTCGAAAACAATAATTTTACTTATGTATGTATTTTTTTTTTTTTATATATTTACATCCTATCGTATTATCTGCCGTCTTCTTAGCAATTGATCTATTTAGACCGTAGATAAGCATTGTGATATACACATAATCAAGTAACCGTTGTTTTTTTTTTCGTTTTTTTTTGTCAGCTAAGAAGCCAAAATAAAGAGGGGGAAAAAAAACTAGAAAAAAGTCAGAAATACATTTTCGAATATTACTTGCATACTGTATTTCGCCGGTGATACGTATTCGGATGATAAATTGTTCAGTGGCGCGATGAAAACAAAACGAGTCGAGAATGGTGAAGAATAACGAAAAGGAAGTGAAATACATCCGTGAACAGAAAGAACAACGTTCGATGCACGAATTTTTGTGCATCAAGAGAAAGGAAGAGAAAAGAAAAATTGGAATTGAAAAGAAAAAAGAAAACCCCCGATTTATTCTCAGAATGCGTAAACACAGCGGCCATTGCTTACTATTTTGTTATTAACGATACTGAGAACCTCAGATTCATGCGAAGCTGTCATGGACCATGGATGTAAAAAAAAAAAGTCATTGCCATGAAGTGTAAAAGAAGAAAATATGCAGTAGAAGTGAAAGCGAGAAAGAATGAGAAAGAGAAAATGTATGTGTGTAAGGGAGAAAGTTATGAAAAGCGTGGATTTCAAATGCTTCTACAAGTGAAAGCGAAACAGAAATATTGTCCTCCCAGATAATTATTCATACCGATAAAAAAAAAAGAAAAAAAAAGTAACGAGAAAACCGTGTATAGTGTCGCCATTTGGCCTTCATGCTGTTCTATCTGCGATTTCATATAAGCTTTGCGTACAATACTGTGATATAATAAGTCGCTCTATTTTTTTCGTGTTTTTTCTTTTTCTTTTTTTTTTCTTTTTTTTTTTCTTGCGCGCATGTAGATACACAAAAAGAAAGAAATACATACAGTAAATCATAGAATTCGAACGAGAAAATTTCTATGAAATATCCTCCGATATACATATATGTTGTACGGAAAAAGAAAAAGAAACAATCATACGAAATGTGAAAAATAAGCAATTACCGTCTCCTGCGTTTAATTTGTTTACGATTAAAGCGTTAGTAATGCGATTCGTTCACACATAACTGCAGAGGCTAAATATATCGAACAAGAAAAAGACAAAAACAATAAAAAAATAATAATAATAATTAAAAAAAAGAGACATATGTAGATTTCAACAGGTGCGTCGAAAATATACGAAAATATATGTTTCGATCTGACGAGAATCGTGGAATGCGAAGACAACTATAGAGAGGTCCGAACGTAAATCCATATTTCTTGCATGTCGTCTACTTTTTAATAATTGCCGATTTTTTTTTTTTTTTTACGCTTTCACACTGTACTTTTGCAATACTTCTCGTTTCTCGCACAGCTTTCTTTCTTTCTTTTTCTCTTTCTTTTTTCTTATTATATAATCACACTTTTTCGTTGAATTCTTATAAAGAATACGAATTCTATGGTTATCAGAGAAGAATCAGAGAATGAAAGTCATATTGTGGAAGAAATGGATCGACTGCAGCATTGCTTAAACTGTACGAGTGCGCATAAGCGAATATATTTATTTGGAATTTATATCCATATAATTATTTATATTTGGAAAAGAGTAAAGTTAGAAAATTAGACAATTGTCTTTAGATAGCAATGCCTGAGGGTTTAGAAATTATTTAATTTTATTTTTCTTCGAACATCTCGATGTTTGAATTAATTGACGTTCCTACATCACATTATTACGCCATTTTCATGTATATTTGATTAAAAATGTTCGCGAATTTTCCCATCTAAGTCTTAATTACTTACCAATTTACATTATACTTACAATACAAATTAATATATTAATACAAATTAGTTAGTGACTGAATGTAAATAAAAGAGAAAGGAAGGCAAAAAGAAAGAGGAAGAAAAAAAACGAAGTGAAAGAAGCAGTTTATAAACATCCAACATTCCTTGATGTTGTTTTCAGGAGAAAGATTCTATTTTGTCGATTTGCAGTAAAAAGAAGAACAGCGAATTTATTTTCAAGATTTTTCTCTTGCAAAAGTAACAGAATTATAAGGAGGACACTTTGTTTACTAGCCATTTATATATTCTGCCAATTTTTATGTCTATATATGTATGTGTGCGAAAAACAGAATTTTTCTTATAACGAGAGCATCATGAAAGGACACGCAGTATAGAAGAGTGGGAAAAAGGTGCAAATGGTGATACGAATGCGCCGACAAGATGTGACAGGAAATTACATTTACGCTAGTAAGGCGCACGTTGTCATTTCTCGTTCACCATTATTTTTTAATCAATTTTTCTTTTTTCTTTATAATCTCTTTTTTCTTATTTGTCTTTTTTTCTTAATTAAGCATAAACTTTTTATTTTTACGTCTTTCGTGCCGTACATCGGCATTTCGTTTCGCTTTATTTTTCTAATTTTCGATCAATCCGTACGATTAATTCGTTTTCATTTTCTCAATAATATAGAATTTTTTTTCTCTTTTTCACGGTGTCACGATCAAACGTGCGCTATTTATCTCGATCTCATCTGAAATACCGTGCGCTTTTCAAGTTCATTAAATACACGTAGTTTTATTATTATTATTATTATTATATTATTATTATTATTATTATTATTATTATTTTTGTTTCTCGAATGTAACCATACCTGCGTATTTACATTGGTTGCACCCAACATGCACTGAATGCAACTTCTTCGGTTCGGCGACCCGTCTGAATACTGTTAGATTGTTGTACATTTAAAAGAAAAAAAAAAAAAAAAAAAAAAGAGAAAAAATTCTAGCGTTCGAAAACTTGTATTTATTGCACTGAGTACGACCAATGAGTATGAACTTTCTTAACTTCCGTTAAAGAAGAATTTTTTCAGCTATCGTAAAAAGATTCACTGGTAAATTTTGTTGATAGTCATTGAAATGTTATATATAAATATATATAAAAAAAATATATATATATGTACATATACATGAATCTTACATACACACACAGACATATATATACAAGTATTAGCGTTTAGAGGAACGTTTCTATCATTTGTACGACAAACTATTATTATTATTATTATTATAATCATCATCATCATTATTATCATTATTATTACTACTACAGAACAAAATCTGTTGATAGCGTGTTTTTTTTTTTTTTTTTTTTTTTTCAAGTTTAGCGCGCACTTGATCCAAATTCCAAAAATAACCAGAGACTTTCCCTCGGGACACTCGGATTATTTAATCGATCATCAATCCGAGATAAGAAAAAGATATTCAGAGGATCCGTGGATCCTCTGAAGACAGAACTATTTTTCTAGTTACTACACACACACACACGTAGAAATACGGATCTTGTGAGTTAAGCATTATTTATTTTATAAAACGCGATACGCGATAGACGAAACAACCGTGTTTTCCTAACGAAGTTGGTGGGCTCAGAAGTTAATAAATCATTTCTCGTCAACAACAATTTGTGCCATGCAAGTATTCCTTTATCATCCAAATTTTCAATTGATGTAAGAGATTTGGTCATTATATTGTGATTACGATAGTGTATTTAATTTGTAACCAATCAAATTCAATATGTACTTACAAATTCATTTCCATTATATTCGATACCTATGTTTCGTTTCATGGGTTTCAAACACTATATATATATACTCGAAAGGGAAAAAATGTGTTTCAACGAGTACACTTGCGATGTATTCATTTTATACAAGTTGATTTCGAGTTCTAGAAATGAGTATCTACAGATTTCGAAAATGTACTTATAAGTAGATATCGATGTTTGTAAGATTCGAATGTTTTACAAGTAGTAGTCGAATATTGAAAGTCAGAATTCTACTGAGAGAATTCCTTAATTTTAATGATTTTATTTTTTATATAGATATATTCATTTACACAAACAATAAATGAATACACGAATATAATAAATTTCCTTATTACTAAATACGTAAGTGACACGACAAATGTATACGTATCTTTAAATTCAAGTATACTTGGAAGTATCACTGGAAATACTACTGAAAATACCACTCGAGCCTACTTGTGAAATATCCAATCTCATTTGTAATTGTATAATAATTAAATTGTTCCATTGATTGAATATTTATACAACGAATGTACGTTTGTGCGGTACAAATCATTTTTAATGAAAAATGATTTATACTGATCAGCTTCTGGCCCTTCCATATTAGTTACGTTGGTCGAGCATTGTTACTTCTTTATTTCCTTTCTTTTTTTGCTGAAATAGCGACAATAAAGAATATCGTTACAGAGGAAAAAAGAAGAAGCAAACGAGGACGAATGGACAGAATAACAATGGAAAAAAAAAAAAGAAAAGAGAGGAGAACAACGAAGAGAGCACGAGCTTTGAAATCGATTCTTTTTCCGTGTTAATTTCGACAGCGAGTGTAAAGTGCGAAACTTGAGGGAAGTGGAAGCTTGTAAAATTTTCAGATGAACGAACAAAAAATTTTTTTTTCTTCTTTTTCCTTTTAAATATGTTCCCATTCGAAGCAAAATTTAGTGCGAATGTACGAACTCGAAACTAGAACGATAAGAAAGTATAATTAATCGATAACTTTGCATTGTACGAAATACAAATTATGTTACGAAGAACAGAAAAAGTTTGTGTCTATAAGCTTTCTACCAGCGTCGTTTGCGAGCACAAGTTACGAGATCCCGAACGATTATAATTGTTAAAATGATTTTTTGCCACGCCTTCAATTATCTGATATCGATGTTATTTGATTGCTTGGCATTAAATGATAATCACTTGCGCTAAAAATTGTTCAAAAGATCACTTGTTTTTGTTATTGGCCCCTTCTCGTCACGTACGCGCGCGTTCAGCATTTATCATTATTAATGACAAAATTTCATTTTTAATTAATAGTTACCGATAATGAAATTTTTTTTTTCTTTCTTCATTACTTTCAACAATGATCAATTTATATATATATATATAATAGAAGAATAAAAATGTGCATATCCATTGAATACTTTTCTACAGATAAGTCTATCCTTGTTGCACATAGCGCGCTCCTTGTCTATCACACTGGATATGTTTGTCTTTGTCACACACTAGTGCTCTCCTTGTCTATCAATAGTACTGCCATCTCTCAACTTCGATTAGAACTAAAAGAGTAAAATGAAAAATTCGATAGATGGTAAAACTTGTGTTTGTGGTGTAGGAACCTTGAGTAGATAAGGCAGGATTCTACCGCAGGTTCACGTATAAAAATTATACACGTAATTCTTCTAACAATTTTATATTTTATCTTTGATTTATTATCACAATTACACTTACAAATTTCTTACAAATCTCTTACCCTTAGTAGCGAACAAACGTAGGAGTACTTATGGTAGTGGATGCACTAGGAGTAGTAGTAGAAATAGAAGGCCTTTTCCTCTTCGCAACCCGGTTTTATAACCTCGGCTTGCAAAGAAGGGGAAAACTCTTTTCCCGTGTTTTTCCTGTTTTCCCGGGTATTTATTTTTACTGTAAAAAAAATGTCGCTGGGCAGCTTTATTGGAAACTCACCTTGCGACGGAAGGTTTTAGAGAGCGGATGTACATGGCGCTGTTTCAAATTGCGCGGAAGTAGCGGTCGCTACAACAGTGAAGGGATTGAAAGTGTCGATAATAATGCGAGGATAATGTAGGAAGTGATGATGTGGGGGTAAGGTGAGGAAAGGCTCAAGAGTCGCCTGCCTAGACTCATCAGTGGGGTTGATGGCAGCGACTCCTTTATCCCAGGACGCTTGTTGTTGTAACTACTCGCTAGGTCGGTCCCACCCATCCTAGAGCGGTTCCGCACTCTGTTTTTGCTTAACATCGAAATATCGATTGACTTCGACGCTAGGCGCACAGCCACTTGCGGCTTGTACAAGTTGGTGTTCGAAACTCGTACTCGAGGAACTATAGGTCGCTACAACAGAACTGAAACCAGCGCCACCTTTTTAAGACCATGGGAAGAAGTTTTCCCTTTTATCACCGGCGAGCAGTAATCCAGTATCACAGACAAGGTATATGATTAGACCTAGCATACAGTGTACTTTTTCGGCCCACGATTGGAGGGTACATGGACCAACTTACCATTTTCGTGTTGCATTCTGTCGTACCGATTCAGGTAAGTTTTGCACCGCGAAAATCAGAAA